AAGAACAAAGACCCTCCCTTCTATCCCGTGACGTACACCTTTTTTATTATATAAGCGTTAGGGCAGCAATAGCAACAGTATTCTACATCAAGAAAAGACAAATTCACCCACAATCCATTTTTCTACTGTCACTTTAAAAGAAAAATATAGGGCCTCTGAATTAGGGGCTTCTAATGCTTTCATCTTTTTCAAAAGTTCCCTTTTCGATGCACAGAGCTCTCCACCTAGAATGTTCTCCTCCCTGACTCCTTCCCCCTTCACGACCCACTGCCCTCCTCTGGGCTCCCTCAGCACCACGGGCCCACCACACACCTGCAGCTATAAATAACCGATAACAGGAAGGCAGGTTGTGTCTGAATCCAGAAACCTGTCTTTCTGACCTCAGAGTAGAAAATTCCCTTATTATGGAACTCTTGCTTAAAAAGAAGAAGAAGAAAAAAATCCTAATGCAGGCTACAACCAAGAAAGAAATGAATGGGACACTCAGTTCTCTTGGCCGCCATACCCAGTGGGCGTGGAAGGCTGAACCCCCCCGCCAAAGAACGCGTAGTGGCCACCTGCATCAGGAGGGGCTCTTTCTAGTTACGTGCACTTTCCAGAATTTTTTCTGTTTTCTGTTCTGTTGTCTATGGTTATGTTTAAGGTAGTTAGAGTCAAGCCGTTTCTGCTATTCAAAATAAACAAGGGTCAGAATAATTCTTTTTGGAGAGAACCAACTGATACTTTCACTGATTCTGATGAAAAAGAAGAGAGAAAAAAATCAAATCAAATCCAGTCTAAGGCAGTGAATGGGGTTCTGCCTGCTTGAGAAAGTGCCATGGATTTTCTGGGGGTTCAACTAGCCCCTCCTCTTCCTGTTACTGCCTTCAAATGGCCCACCCTGATTTAGTCATTAAAACTGAGGAACTGATTGCTTATTCAAGGAAGCTGCGTCAAATCCTACTGCTGAGTTCAAAGCACTAAAATCCTGGGCATATTTTCCTGGTCATCTCATGGGCACAAAGCAAGAGACAGTGCATAGTAAAAGGACCTGTCCCTAACAAGGGGTTGTGGCCAGTAAATCTCCTGGCCGTGGTCATCATGTCAGGGAGGGGTACACACGGGACCACCCACGTTAGAGATGGACCGCAGCAGCTGTCTTCTCAAGAGGCAACTGATATTCTGCTGATAGAAAACAACAACACGGAGCCACGGAATTCGCCACGGGCGGGGGAGACTTGGAACCCGCAGTTCCTGACTGACATGCTGGGAAAAAGCCGGAAATTTTGTGATTAATCTGAGGAGAATGGGCCATCCTTTTGCTTGTACAGCTTGCAATAATCCATCTGAAGCCGGGGTGGATAATTGTTAGCTACAACGCTGAAACACTCCCATATTAAAAAGTTACAAAGCCAAATACACTGGGCAACAACCCTCTATCAGATCTCTGTATGTAATGACTAAGGTGGCAGCCAGGAAAATCCGTTCCTCCTTCCACCCCTCCTCCCCTTTAGAGTTGTCTTCTTTCTTCTTCTTCCCCAGGGGCAAAAAGATTAATCACACCAAGAGATTGTGACTATGAAGAGCTTTAAGGAATAAAAAAGAAAAAAAAAAACCAACTGTTTACTACACCATATCTACCTATCTATGTACCTACCTACAAAGACACACCTTCCCCCACACCCTTCATTACAGCCCAAGGCTTTCTTCCCTTTAAACGCACTGCTAACTGGTAAGCAATAACTGCTCGCCACAAGCAGAGAGCACGGTCTTGCTAGGCCCCTCTCTCTCCTTCTACATTAGTGTTCCTCCCTTCTGCCCTGCCCCCTGCATTGCTATTGCTAAAGACTTAGACAATCAATTCCAAAGGACTACTTACAATTCTACCTTCAAATAGGTTTACCATATTAAATCAGAATCCCTGTATATAACCACTGCCCCACCTTTCCATGACACTGGACATGGGGGATTTGAAAGAAAACAATACAAAAATGTTTGTAGAAAACTAGGCTACCAGGAAATATATGAACAGGTAACTCATATGATTGGCACAGAACCCTCTGCACTCCTTACTCTTCAAGGCCTCAACAGCTTCAACAAAAAGCACAGGTTACTGCTGAGAACGGCACAGCAGCTTCCCTCACCGCCCAAAGCTATCACCCCGCCACTCAGACCATCAAAGGAGCATTCAGAAATGGTTATAACCACCAAGAGGGGAAAAAGTGATGTAATCATTGTTTCTCTCTACTTATCATGAAACTGATTAGCAAGTTTGACATACAAATCATTAAGGAAAATAGAGGTGCTGAGAGGCAACAGAGTTGAGCAGGAAGAGGCAGACAGGAATTCTTTAGTGAGGAAAACAGATTCCTGTGTCAGCAGTTTCCTATTTAGATGGGGAAGGCCATTCCACTCCTGGGGCACCCTATTGCCATGGTAACTAAGCACAGAGCCATGCATTAGGCCCACACCATCTTGGCAATAAAACTATAGCTCTTACTGCAGGGCTATGAACAGAAGGCAAGTCTTCCAGTCTTGCACCTGGGAGGCTAACCTGACCTCCACGCTAGTTAGGCAGCCTGAATTCTCACCACTGTTCAGGTATAAACCACCTCAGGGTTGGAATTACCTTCCTGGAGCCAAGCTGCCCTGGGGTAGAGACCTCATGGAGCCACCACCAAGGCAGAGCATCCTTCTGGGTCTGGAGTCTCTTGGAAGGATTCTGAGGTAGCCATGGTGAGAACAGGGACTCAGAATCCTGGAGAAATCCTAGGATCTGAGGCCTCACTCCTCTGTTCTGGGGGAGCAATGTTGAATGTTTCCTCAGAGACACGGCTCTTTTAAGCTATCAAGAAGATTCTGGAGTCTCCTATAGGCATTCATCCCAATGATTTCCATCACTGTAATCTGTTTTTTGAATCTAAATGCCACATACTGAAAAGCACAACTACTTTAATTCTTTGAAACAATCTTAAAGAATAACACTGATAGTAAAGAAATTTCAAACAAGGAAAACTACCAGCCACAGTCCTGCCACTGTGCAAAGACATTTCTTCCCATTTTGAAGCACTTTCTAGCTTTCTTGATCTAGAAAAGTATTTTTGCATAGCTACCATAATCATACCTGAAAGTTTGTATTTTCCTAGGATATGAGAAATATTTTTCCATGTTTCTCCAGTCATCACCATCACTGTTTGTATGGATGGCTGGCTTCCCTACTGCCGACGGACCATGGGTGCACTGAGTAAGTCCTCTGCGTCCATTTCCTGTCGTACTGAGATAACACCGGGAGAGGCCCTCCTGCCACTTCTTTACAGAAGCCACTGGGAAGTTTCTATGATGCTTACTTTTATCAAGAGGCTCGCTGCCTCCCCCCTTCCTCCCTCTTCCAATCTGGAGACTCCCCAAGAGTTTTATATCACTTTATTTCATAAAGTAATTTGATAGCTTACAAATATCATTTACATTCCTCTTAGGAGCCCTGTGTGTTTTCCTACTTTGGAAATGTGACTGTTGTATGAATGATCCAGCACGCCTAGGGATTACCTGCTATACAGCAAAAAGCAAAAAGCCATTCTTCCAAGATTTGTTCGGACACAGAGAAGGTTTTGGCATCGATCATAACCGACTTGGAACTGCAGGAGATTTCCTGTTTTATTTAGGAACAGGGGGTTTTGATCTACAAAATGTTAGTCACATTCTGCCAAGTTCAGTCCTGACACTGATGAGGTAGCAAAGGCTCTGGAGAGTTTAAGAGGAGGCCAACTTTCTGTTAGAGCAAGGGGCAAGGCTGATTTTCCATGCAAACGTCCGCAAACTCCAGCACAAACAACTATGCCATTATTTTCCCTGATGGAGGTTGAATGTGAGCCAGTGCCGCCTAAGTTCTCCAGTTCTGGGCCAGCCCAGAAATGAAGGGAGAGGAAGGTCCACCTGATCCTTCTTCAGATGGACAACCACTCCATGTAGATAACCAGCCAAGAAGCCTACAGCTCGGGCAAGACGCATCCTTCTAACCTCCATTTTGGTCAAAATCAGATGGGATGCCTAAAACAAACAAAAACCCAACCGGGAACTTCGCTGCAACCTACGCGCTTGGGCTGCATCTGTGTGTGGGTTTGGCATCTTGTAGTGGTAGCGGCCGCCGCCGCCCAGCTGTTCCCTCACTACACATGTTTTCCCCCGTAAAACTTCCAGCAGGCTGGCGGGCTTCACGCTCCTCACTTAGCTTTGTTTGTGTTTTCAATGAATCAATGGGATATGGAGACTAATCAAGATGTTTAGAAAAATAAAGAAAGGAAAAAAGAACAGCTCGTGATGCTGGCTGTTCCTGAAAGCTGGGTGAGAAAAGCTGCACAGGAAGGACCCGGAAGGGGGTCTAGGAGCATGGGCACGTGGGCCAGCCCTGGGTGCACAGCAAAGGTGCCACTTCAAGGACCTTACAGATCTCAGATCCCATCTCTGCCCGTATCCCAGGCCCTCCATCACCTGCTCCCAGGCTGAATCTCTGGCCTCAGCCCCACTCTGCTGTGCCCCTGGCTCTCTATCCAGTCACACGCTGAACTGCGAATCTTCCTGCCTTCATTTTCCTTTTGCTTGAAGGCAGCCTCGAATCTTCCAGAGGAACTTGACTGCTCCTTACCATGACCCCACTGGGAGCGATACAGGCCTATTCCCTGTGCCCGCCTAACAATGAAAGCCCAAGCACAGAATCTGTCCTGACTTGAACCACAGCCCCCAACCATGCACACATGGCTTTACACCTAGAAACAGACAGACTGATGAGAGAATGCGGCGAGGAGCAAGAAAAGGCTGCAGGAACTCTGCACTCAGCTGCCGACCCTCTCTCTCCCCATCAGAAACTACCACCACGAGGACACAGTTTGCCAACAGCCTACCATGTTTTCAGCTCCCAAATCCAGAATGAGGGGCCCTTTGAGTCTCCCTGTTCCAGACCAGAGGACAGGAAAACATGTGGCAGGGAAATATTTCACACAAAACAAGAGGAATCAGCTGGTTACCTGAGCTCACACAGCCTTGCTGCAGAGGGTCCTGTAGTGACGTCACAGAATGGAGGACTAAATAAGAAAAAGGAATACAATTAAATGAGGAAAAAAAGTCCAGGGGTTTGAAGCTTTCTAATGAACTGAGTTTAGCAGAGGGGAGACCGCATTAAGTCCCAAAGGCCTAAGGGAAGATTTCCCCACTCCTAATGGGGGGGGGGAGGGCAGAAGGCAGGGTCCACACAGGCAGGCCAAGTGCTGCCGGAAGAAGGCAGGACCCTGCCTGGGGAACAGGTGAGGCTGTCGCCCATCATAGCTTTCACCTCCGTGCCTTTGGCTGATCTTTCTTGATTCCCTGATTTAGCTACTTGACTTTTACCTTTATTTATGTATAAACAACATTTCCTTAATTGGTAACTCATTTTCTGCTGCTTATAAAATTAGCTAGCATAATCTTCTCTCTCCTAAAAAGCGAAGTGAGTCCATGGCAACAGGTAGTGCGGGAAGGGGGCCGGTTCTCTGCCTGCAGTGCCATGTGGCTGGCAGCCTTGTGCCCAGATGCCCCTTGTCCCTCCCTGCAGCAGCCCAGGGCTGCCCTCACCTGGCCCCTGCTGCTGTCCTTGGACTGGCAGGACGCCCTGGCCCAGCTCGCCATTTAGCCAGAGCTGCATCCGGATGAAGGGTTCGCGGCCTTTCTGGGTCAGCTTGCTCCATGGCTTCGGCCGGGACAGCATGTCACTGACACTGCCCTGGGACAGGCCCAGCACCTGGAGTGGCAGACAAAGACCATTGCATCAGCACTCAGGGGTGAGCGTGAGGCCGCAAAATGCTGTAGTGATATGCACGGCCGCTGGGAGGTGACACAGAGAGAGGATGCCCAGGGAGCGCTTCTGGGAGGAGCAGAAAACCAGTGCCTGGAGGAGTGGGATAGCCTGGAGTGGGGAATACTTTGCAAGGTCACCGGTGTGCTGATGCCCTGGCATGAGAAGCCAGAGGTATAGTCACAGCTTTTAGCTCCCAGGGAGAGGCAGGCTGGGAAAGGGAGGAGTGGAGTCTCCATTCTGCCAAGGCTGCAGGGTCGTTGTCTTGACAACCCAAGAGGAAACATTGAAATCATCTTGCTCTTTGCATGGTGGCGCCAGGAAAGGCTGAGGTGCTGAAGCTAAGGACCCCGTTAGAGGCAGAAGCAGCGGATACTGGTGGGATGTTGGAAGCCGGTCTGCTTTGCTGGTGCTGGGCCAAGTTGGCATTTAGAAAGATTTGCTCTCTCTGATCCCATCCTGCTCTACGGTAGGGGCCCAGAGGTGAGCTGGTGGCAACGGGGGAGCCAGTCTGGGAGGAAAATGCATGAGTTGCACATACATTCCCGGGTTTTCTTATGCTCACATATGGCCATACATATGTATGGGCACAAACACCCCCCACAGGACACAGATGCAGCCCAGGGATATTTAGGGGCTGCATCCGATCAGTCTTTTGAAAAGTTCTCAAGTTTCAGAATAAACTGCACTCGTGGGCCAAACAAGTTCAACACTATTAAGTTTGCTAAATTTAAGGCCTGAGCACAAATGTCTATTTAAATGTTCTCAAATGATATTTTTACAACACTGAACTAGAAATTTCAAAGGACTTTAAATTTTCACCCTCATTTCTATTCCCCCATCACCTTTAAAAAAAATCAGAACAAAGATATCGCAATCAGATATTGCAAGGATTCATAGCACCACACTGCAACTGCTAAAGTGAAGCAGGACAGTGTGGGATAGGGGTGGGTGGGTAGGCCCCTTGAAGGCCACTGTTGATCCAGCTACACATCCCTCAGGGAGGCTGCCTTTAGGGGAATGGAGCGCTTCTCATTATGCTCAGCATTCGTTACTTAATCTAAAATGATCCTAGGAGCCGAGACCGGTTTGGCTCAATGGACAGAGCATCGGCTTGGGGACTGAGGGGTCCCGGGTTCGATTCGGGTCAAGGGCATGTACCTTGGTTGCGGGCATATCCCCAGTAGGGGGTGTGCAAGAGACAGCTGATTGATGACTCTCTCTCATCGACGTTTCTAACTCTCTATCTCTCTCCCTACCTCTCTGTACAAAATCAATTAAAATATATTTAAAAAAATGATCCTAGGGTATTATGTTTCTCTTATCCCTGTGGGGGATGGGAGGGGGTTCCTCAGCCTGGCCTGTTCCCTCCTGCAGTCTGGGAGCCCTCAGGGGATGTCTGCAGGGAGCAGGCCTAAGCCGTTGGTCGGACATCCTCCTTAGCTCTGCCTGCAGAGGTGGAAGAGGCTCCCGTCACCACTGCTGTGCTCGCCAGCCATGAGCCCAGCTTTGGCTGAGTGGCACTCCCCCTGTGGGAGCGTACTGATCAACAGGGGGCAACTCCTGCAGTTAGTGTTTGCCCCCTGATGGTCAGTGCACATCACAGCAACCAGTCGTTCTGCTGCTCAGTCAATTTGCATATTAGCCTTTTATTATAAAGGAGGATTTACAGGCCTGGTAAATCCCCATTATCCAGAATCTGGTTACCAGGAAGTGCCAAGAACAGAAAGGGTCTGGGAAGCTCATCCACATGCCACTGTGAGCCAGGGAAGGACATTATGGAAACAAGGGCTTCCAGGACCCTGGGCAGCCCTGCCCAGGCCACCTCCAGCCATGCATTCCTGGGCAAGTCACTTAATCTCTGCTGGACAGTACCTCAGTGCCCTCTGAATCATGAGAAAGGTGCAATTATGCTTTCCATAGCCTTGGTGTTCTCCGCACACTGGCCGTCCCTCTTTGTTGTCAGACCCCTTTTGGCCAAAGAAGCCTGCAGAGGTGCCTCTTGGCTGCACTTGGCAGCAGAGGCAGGACTTTGATTCAGTCACCTGTCAGCTTGGGGTACGTAGTCAATTAGCTTCCCTGAGCCTCGGTTTCCCTGGCTGTCCAATGGCAACGTTACCTCCCCCTCACAGTGTGACTAAGTCGTCTGAAGGAGCACAGTTGGTGAGAGGGTCTGGCCCAGATCCTGGTCCCCAAGGGATGCAGCAAAGGGAACATTCACCAGCCAACATTCCCAGACGTTTGGGAGTGGACAACCCATTATACTCATTGGTTAATGCAATGGGTGACAACAATGCCCTCTAGATACTTAGTTCTAAGCAATGAAAACAGATGGGAACACCCAAGCCCCCAAATCGAATTCCTTACCTTTTCCCCGAAGATCCGCTGACAAATGCCATTCTTGGCCAGCTTCTCCTTCACCTGCCGGGTGAGCTCGATGGTGTCCACCTCCTGGTACATGTAGATCTCATACTGCTCAGGCGTCAGTGGAGGGACAGAGGGCTTGGTGGGCTTGGACAGGGGTACGATGGGGGAGGAAGGCAGAGGGCTGTTCTGCGGTGTCTCGCTGCGGCTGGCTCCGGTCATGCTCAGCTCTGAGCTCTGGGAGTACGGTGACTCGGCGCTGGGCCATTCTTTCCAGTATTCGGAGGAGGAGGAGGAGGGTCCCTGGAGCTGGCTGCGTTCGGCCCTCGCCTGACTGCTGCCACCTTTTTCTTTCCCGCTGCTGGGTTCTTCGGCCTTGGTTTCCTCGGGGGGAGGGTTGTTCTTCCTCTCCGGCTGCACGGTGCTCCACCAGTGGTCCTTCCAGCCGCCGCTGCGGCCCAGCTCGTTCTTCACGTGCCGCAGGACCCCCGGTGTGGAGTCGGTGGCTCCTTGGAGGTCCAGTCCAGGTGCGTCCTGGGACTCCTTTTTGAGGGCTGGGGGGTTGGGCAGAGCGGGGGTGCTGGAATCGGGGGCGGAGGCGGGCTTTTTCAAGGAGATGGCTAGAGGAGGGTAGCTGGACACTGAGGACATGGGCGAGGTGGATATTAACTTGGGGGTCAGGATGGCAATGTCAGTCTGGGCCAGTGGTGTTGGTTTTAAGGCGGGGTCGAGGGCAGCTTGCTGGGCCTCCATTTCTCGGCGGGCTTGCTGCAGGATGGAGCGGATGGCGTCGTCGGAGTTCCCGCTGCCAGATGTGGAAGAAGGCTGAGCGGGCTCTGCTGCACGGGACAAACACAGAGGAGATCAGATGGTGGCCCGGCCGCCACCTCTCCAGGGGAGCATGCTGCTTTCACTCCACTTCTTCCTAACTTGACCTGCCACAACGTGCGGATTACTGGGGAGCTGCATGGCTCTATTTGTCCAGCACGTGCCCCATCAGGGAGACATTCATGCATCTTGTGTGATAAGAGAGAGGGAGTCCGAAAATAGTCAGTCACACCCACCCTGGACTTTCTTTCCCTGATGATGTAAAACAATTCTCGTGGTTTTTCTATATTCTAAAATTCTAGTGCTTTTGTCAAACTTTAGTGACAGTGTTAACAGTATTGACGAGAGAACAGTCTCCCAGTGTAAGTGACCGTTTTTGGGTTAGCCCAGATTCTCTTCTGTCATGTGGCCAGCAACCTGAGCCCCACAACGAGGGGCAATGGGTAGGGATCCCGGGCTGTGATCTGGGGGGATCACAAGGCATCACTGGGTTTCGGGATTTCCATCTGTAAATTTGGGAATGGGTAATGGACTAGATCAAGGATTCTTAACCCGAGCTGTGCACCAGAATCACCAGCTGCGCTTAAGATGCACACACCCAGGCCCCCGCCCGCAGTGTGTGATTGAGAAGCCAGTGTGAGGCTGGGCCAGCTCCCGGGGACCGCGAAGGGAGGCCCTGGTTGAGAGGTGCTGGGCTGAATGCTCCCTCTGGCTGAGCCAGCTCTGTAATGTGCCTTCATATCTGGGGGAGGAAGTCATACAAAGGGGCTCTTCTCCTTTAAATGACGCTGGAAAGTGCCTCGAACAATAGTGACAACCTTTAATGCCTCTCGAGGACTCAACTTTCCTGGTTAACAGAGGGCCCTCCCTTTCCCAGCTCTCATGACCCTCACAGCGACCTCCGGGTGAGGGCAGTACCACATCTTCAGGAGAGAAGATGATACTCCTCGAGGTGGGCCTTTCGCTCTCAATTCGGGGGTATCTCCTATGCTGCCTGGGGTGCCCTGCCAAGCTTTCTGCTTGTTCTGCCATCCAGAGGAGGGACTGGCTTAAACCTCAACTCTAGCCTTGAGGGTGAGAACATACTAAGTTGAAAGTACTATCCATTGGCAGGCTTGATCCCACAGGAGTCATTTCCTACTACGCTGGGATATCTGGAAGGAGGCAAGTGGCACCAGAGGGCAAAGTGCTGGGACAGGAATTGAGAGATCAGGGTTTCCATCCAGAGTCTACCAGTCAATGAGTTTGGGCAAATTATCCTAACTTTCAGCGAATTAACCAGGAATAATAGGATAGCAAAATCTGTTTTCCAGGGTTGTGATGAGGAACTGGTTTGAAGACCTAGGTTAAGGTAGCTAAAAATGCCCAGCCCAGGCCTGCTTCCCAGAGGGAGCACTGAGCTCACCCGTTGAACAAGCAATGTGGGAGTGGGCAGCCTGAGGAGAGGACCCCTGATCATGGGGGTGGCCCGTCCTCAGCTGCCACAGCTGCCTGAAGCCAGGCCGAGCAGGAGCAGGAGCAGGAGCAGGAGCAGGAGTGGCTCTGCAGAGCAGGCCTTCACGCCTGAGGTCACTCAGGCACCCAGTTTCCTCTCCAGCGGTGTGAGCTGAATCTATGGCCTGGCGCGCTTCTCGTTCCAAAACTCGAGCAGAGAAACGCTGAAGTGTGGAAGTTCTTTCCTCTTAGAGGAGGCAGCTCTCAGGAAGCTCGGGCCAGTCCTGAGGCAGACTAGGTCTGGACCGCAGAGGAGGACATGCATCTACTAAAACCCCCTGCTCTTCCTAGCAGCATTCATTCCAAAAAGCAGCTGTTAAGAATTTGTTTTTCACCCATTCTTTTTTGATAGTGTTTGGTTAAATATATATCCAAATAATTAAAAAGGTTATATTGCTTTTAAAAAAGAACTATGAAAGCAAGTCAACAAGATCCTGGAACATGGGTACCTTATTGACTCAATGTTCAAGAATGACAGAAAAAGAATGTTAACTATTAGCAAAAGACCTACAGCACTTGCCTAAATACATGAAAACATACATTCTGCCTTTTTTTTAAATTGAAAAGTTAACTACTGCTGACCAGAATGCCCAAGACAATATTCTAATTAAGTTTGGAAAACAGTGGGACCCATACCAGTTTTTTGCACTTGCAGTTCCCTTTTGGCTTGTTCCAGGATAGACTTGATTGCTTCATCGGACCCCGTCTCTGAGGCTCGGATCCGGGTGGTGATGTTACCTGCAAGGAGAAGCCACACCAATGACATCAAACCCACACCTGGAACAAGAACCAGTGCTGCACAAAGATGTCATTCTGATCAACAGATCTCACAGGAGTTGAGGCTGGAGATGGTAAGGAGGCAGATATGGCCTCCCATTTACCTGTACCTGCTGTGCATGCAACTTCACAGCAGGTACCGTGACCCCATGCATGAAGGGCTTCGTGCTGAATCTATCTGACGTTGAATGCTATTAGGCCAGTGGGATAAGCTCTCATATTTACTCAAGCGGGACACCCATGTGTTGGGACCAGGGAGAGAAGATCATTTAAAAGCAACGCCAATAACTGCTTTGACATGGGGCTATGTTCAAGGCTCTATACGTGTATTTGAGGATGGTATCCCAAAAGGAAAAATGGAAAAGAAGGGTAAAAGGTTGAGGCTGACTACCTATTAATCATTTTGATGTACAAAGTAAAGAGGCTAAAGGCTTAATTTAAAATTTTAAATCTATTATCACATCCTGTCTTTTAAAAATTTATGAATAAGCCCAGTCTGTGTGGGTCAGTGGACTGAGCATCGTCCCATACACCAAGAGGTCACTGGTTCGATTCCTGGTCAGGGTGCATGTCTGGGTTGTGGGCTTGGTCCCCAGTAGACGGTGTGCAGGAGGCAGCTGATCGATGTTTTTCTCCCATCAATGTTTCTATCAATCTTTCCCTCTCCCTTCCTCTCTCTAAGATCAGTAATTTTATTTTTTATTTTTAAATTTATGAATGAGGAGAGGAGCCTACAGAAATCCCTAAAGGACAAGAATTCAGTCTTTTGGTTACACAGTGATGCTTTGCGGAGTAGCCACAATACAGATGTACTGAAGCTACTACGGCCCGGGGGCTGGCCCCAGTTCTTTCTGGAAGCCATCCACATTCTTAATTTTTCACTACCTTACTAAATATAAAGTGCCACACCAAATCATTTAAAACCCACATGTCACTGGGGACCAAGCCCCATTAAAGATGCCACTCCAAGGAGTGTGGTCGGGGTTGGCTAGCCAGGGCCCACAGGAAAACTAATTATGATTGGAATTTGTCCACTCCATAGCACCTTCAATGTATTTCAGAATTAAAAGACAGTACAAGGAAGCAGCAATATCTCATTTGACTTAGTCACCTGGGTCAGAGCAACAACTTTTCTCAGAGCAATAACTGTTATTCTTTCACCTGCTTCTGAGAAAATGGAAAAGTTATAATTTAAATCTAACGGGATTTGGGATTCTTATTTAGAGACTAAATCTTAGTGGTGGAGGCCACTTCTTCCGCACTCGGTAGAGTGCAAGCAGCTCAGAAGGAAGGGGCCTTGTGTACTTGAACCCGTGCTTTGTTTTATACTTACTATCTGTTTTTCCATCAGGTTCCAGGCCAGAATCACACTGTACAGTTTTAACCCAAATACACAGCTAAGGACATGCTGCTTCCTAGGTTACTAACTGCAAAGAAAAACACCTGCCTGCAACATACCTTCAGACCCATTTCTTCGTTTCGGTACTTCCTGAAATAGTCTGTTCAGGCTCTGGCCTGGATTCTCTGTTGAAAAACAAGTGTGGTAAGAACAAAACAATCAGGGGGATGGTGGTGTTGACGATATGGGCTGCGTGACATGAAATCTGAGTCACCTGTGACTACCGAGAGGGCTCGAGGTTTCCTGTGCAATTTGGGAACTACTAGAAACATCTGAGAGGCCCTTCCCTGGCTGATGGGCCTCAGAGGCCATGATTCTGCTGCAAAAGGAGATCAGAGGGGCCTGCGGCCTGTGGCACCGATGCCACCAGGGCAAACAGAAGGAGCGCTGCCTCCAAGTGACTCGCCCACCAGCCCCCGGGACAAAGCTCACATGAATCATCCAAAGACAGTTACCATCGCCATAAAAACCTCGATGTGCTTTGTGAAAATTTGACGTTGTTTGAATTCTCCCTTTGATTTGTTTTGAGCCTAAATTTCAATGTTTTTCAAATGTGTCTAAGATTATCTCTCTATCACCGTTGGTTTAGCAGAATGATCCCCTGCTGTTAGAGAGGGAAGGAATTCTTTCAATTTTTATCTTTTTATGGAGGGCGGGGTAGGAAGGGTGTTTTAATGAAAATTTCATGTATTGAACTCAAGACAGGCGTGTTTGGCTTATAATGCTAAAAAAATCACTTAATAGAACATAAGCACCGGGAGCGAGTTGGCCACAGGACACACCCCCTTCTGTGTGGTGGGAGAGAGGACATACTCTCTCCACGGAAGCAGCTCTGTGTGAGGATGACCCCAGCTGTTGCTGCTACTCTAGGGCTGATTGGTACCTCAAGGGCTCCTCCTCATGTGAGGCCAGCACCCAAGGCCAATCGATCACTGGACACTAAACACGTCGAGATATTGTACGTAAAGTAATTCTACCGATTCAATGCACAGTACTGCAATACTGAGTTTACTACATGTGAAGTGATGAGTGGGTTTCAAGAGGCTGGATCTCCCAAATCTAACAACTTTTACTCTTGCCAGTTGACCCTTGAACTCTGGAAATTGCAGAGCCGAAGAGAATTTTACGTGATGTGATGCACACATGTTTCATCACAGACACACAGACAACACTCTGTGACAGGCTCACACGCTGGTGCCAACCCATGAAAGTCTCTCACCTCTTTGTCTGCCTTGGATGCTGCGAAGAGCCAGGATGTTCTGCTCATCCGAGAGGAACTGCTTCATCTTGTGGAAAGGCTCCTTGCCGCGAACGGTCAGTTTATTCCATGGTTTGGGCCGGGCCAGAATCTCGCTCACGGACCCTTGAGACAGTCCCAAGACATAATGTCCAAAAATGCGCTGTCCAATATTGTGCTTGATCAACTGCTCTTTCACCTGCCGGGCGATTTCTGCAGTGTCTATCTCCTCGCCCTCGGAGACGCTCCCAGCACTTTCTGACTGGCTGGGAGACGGGGCCATGCCATTTACATCTGGGCTTTGTTGTAATGGACTTGGGGAAGATATGGAGTTTGTGCTGTATGGACCTGTTGAAAAAATCATGCTTGTGCTTCCTGCTTCCTGCATGGCCTTGGAGTAGAAGGACTGCATTAGCTGTCGTTGGAGGAGAGAGTTTAGTGCAAATTTTCCCGTAGAAGCCAGGGGTAGGCTGGGGCTTGCCAGGGATGAGCTGAAAAAGTCTTGAGTTAACCCCGCTGGTGAGAACTGGTGTGTACCATTAGTATTGGAAGCCTGCTCCCCTGTGTTGCGGGGCAACTGAGGAGGGGGCGCCGGCAAAGGTCCAGGACGCCGACTCTCAGGCTGGTCTTTCCCTTTTCTCCTGGCTGACCCTACAAGGAAGGGCAAACATAATGCATTATGGGGGATTCAAAAGGGAAAAAAAACCAAGACCAAAATGCAAAGTTTGCCCCACATAGGGAAAAAAAGTGCATATTTTACAAGGGCCAATGAGCAGTGTTGGTTTGTTTTTCAATTGAATTTTTAAATCAGCCAAACAAGGCCCCCCGGAAACAAGCAACATGCATTTCATGTTTGCACCTTTCTTGTACGTTGCAGCCTGGAGAGTCCCCTTGACATAGATTCAAACTCCTGAAGTGACAAGGAGCCGGTACCACACACAGTAAAGAGTTGACAAGTCGCGGGCCTCTGGCATTCGAGCTATTACCAGGAGAGCCCCACCTGAGGAGCAGCAAACACTGACATTTTGGGACCAACAGGTTCTCTCACACCACTTGCTCGGAGGCGAATGCACTGCACCGAGTCCACTCGATCGAAGGCACGCACATTTTAAGAGTGAAATATCATCAGAGCCCGAGACACTTTTAAATGGTTTACCAGCTGCCAGAACCAGAAGCAGTCAGTGACGCCACCATTTTGGGATGAGCAAAGAAAGGCTAAGGATGGGGGACGTGTTCCCAAGAAAAACCTGACGGAGGAAGAAAGGCTCCACTGAGCCTGGAAGGGCAGGGCTGACCTTGCCCGCAGGCCCCAGAACACCACGAGAGAGAGGCCACACAACTAGGCCACGATCAGAAAGCCAACATCCTTCCAGTGTCCCTCCTGTGATCTGCAACACTGGCCCTAACTGACCTCCGCAGACACTCTGCAGCCACATGTCTCACCTTGACCGACTTGAAGCAGGCGGGGGTGGGGGAGGAGAGGAGCAGTGAGGAGGACGAGGAGACCAAACACTTATTAGTCACGGTTCTCATCAACTGGTGATGTTCCCGTCATGCATCGGCCCAGACTCACGGTTCACCTTCCTCTTCCTCGATCCCCGGAAGGGACCGAGCAGGGCTCGTGAGAGCCTGTCAACCTACCGCTCAGGTCGCTGTTGGAGATGCGCAGGGAGGCGTTCTCGGACTGCAGCGAGCGGTTCTTCTCCAGCAGCAGCACCTCCAGGGGCTTGGATGCGTCCTAGACAGGACAGAGCGGGGCTCACTGTGGGCGGCCACCCCCCGCTTCTCAGGCCTCAGACCCTGCGACCACACTGCTCTACGGCTTCCCACCCAACATGTTACAGAACTCTGACTTCTCCCGATGGTGACTGACACACGCACGGAAAACACTCAGGTTCCTTCCCAAAATAATTCATTCCAGTTGAAACAATTTTTCTTCTTCTAGACAACTATTCTCTATTTTGTCCCCAAATTCAAGTGGTCTAAACCTACGTCTCATCTGGCAATAATATTGGCTGCAGAGCCATACACCTGTCAGGAAGTCATTGTAAAGGTGCCAGCCACAAAGAGTTAGCTGTTTTATAGGCATCAGGAGCAGGATTCCATGAGATTACTTAAATTTTAATTGGCTACCAGATTATCAAGTGCTATTGTCACCTTGCCTCTGTAGATAATAAAAGCACCCAAGCCAGCCTTTCTGGGCTGATCTTTAACACAATCTGAAATTGTTTTTATTCAAGTTCTTAGTACCAACTTAAATCACAATTTCACTGAAAATGAATTACCAGTTTGGAAAATACTAACTTTTCTTTTTAAATAAAGACAAATTGCTTTAACTTGGTTAAGTGTTCATGAGGCATTATTGGCCAGCTAAAGGCGAGAGGTCTCACAGAAATAGAGATAATGAAGCTCGCCTAGAGACAAAAGTGACATGGCCATGCTGACACTCATACACACTGAAAGCAGAGTGAGGCCACGTACCTGTGTCCCAGCTCCCTCGGACGGTGCAAACTCCATGGACTTCAGAATACTGCGAAGAGCAAGACAGGGCGGTTATTTCCTGCTCTGACCTTTGTTCACAGCCATACTGATGAGCATCAACATCACAGTTTCCTGTTCTCTGGGACCAAAGGATCTGACAACTTTAACAACTTCCCTGGCAGCATTATAATCTGATAATGTCTCTAGAATAACTACTCAACTAGCAGTTGGCCAGCAAAAGTTTCTTGCCCGGCATGTAAATCATTCCATATGGAATCACACCAGGTCTGTTCATAGTATAATTTTAAAGTTGAACGCAGGCATAACATTGATGCAAGTGGAATGTATTTGCAAAGCTTAGTGGGAATGAAAGCGTTGGTACAAGGAAGTCAGAGAGAGAGAGAGAGAGAGAGAGAGAGAGAGAGAAATCTCAGCACCATATAGGGCCATCACCCTATACGCTCAATTGTAGCTGGCACCTGGGCACAGGGAAATGGGCAAAGAGCATGGCCCCACACAAAAGCTGGCACAGACCTTCTCTGCAGCCTTGGGCTGGGGAAGGAGAATCATTGCAAAGATGTGGGAGAGCAGGTTTATTTCTCCTTATCATTGAAATCACACCAGTCTCTAGCCTGTTTCAACAAGCCGGAGAGCTGAGTGAGGTCAGGTGCCCAGAACTGCTGTTTCCAGTATCTCTTTAACATGGACATTGCTTTCTTTCTGTGAGTCTATTGGGGAAGAAAGGGCAAATGAGTGGGTGCTCCCCTCACACACCCACTTCCCCAAGGAGGGAAGGCGGTAATAAGGGCGGGCTGTGCATCTCAGGCACGGGCCACCTGAGTTCTGCCAGCATTCTCAGAGCCACGACGTCAGTCTCTGCCCTCTTTAAGCTCCATGGAAGTGTCACAAGAGCAGTGTGCAAAAATGCCAAGGGTCCTGGGAGACCACTTTCTGCCAAGCCACCACGAGGATCAGCAAGCAGCCGACGGCTCTGTTTCCCTCTGGTTGTGCCTTCGCGGTGGCCCTTGTCATGTAAGCTGATGAACAGCACAAGGAGCTGGTGTGGGCAGGCCGTGTAGCTGTAGTTCACGGAGCGCTGTAGGAAACACTAAAGGACTTGGCCTCACCCACCAGACAGATGCCTGGAACCTGCTCTTCCTCGGCGGCTATCAGGTTGCTCACAACTCTATGCTTGCCTGAGAGCTTCCTCGGGACCATGTAAGAGAAGATGGAGTCTCCAAGTTCATAGTGAAACACCGGTGTCTTTTCATAGAGTTAACAGATATTTACTGAGGACCTATGTGCTCAACACTGGAGAATCAGAACCACTCCTCTCCTCATCCTCACGAACATTATGGGCTCTTTCAGGGAAGACAAAATCCAAAGAGCACGGGAAAGAGAAAACTCTGTGGGGCCCTTGGCAGGAGAGACCTCATCAGGCTGGAGGCAAGGTCTGTCCGTTGAGGAGTTAAGAGTCTTAGTTGGGCCTTGAAGGAACAGGATGCTTTAGAGGCCACGGCAGGGTGTGGAAACACCGGCATAGATGGGAAGAAAACGTGAGCAAGTTTCTGAAAAAGCACTGAAATCACTAGGAAGTGAAAGGCCAAGGACACATTTTATCAGGAAAACCACCGAGTGGGGTGGCTGTCAGATGCTGACGTGTTGGTGGGGGCTGTGGTGTGCAGATCTGACAAGAGGGCTGGCAGGAAGGTGGAAGGGTACTCTGGAAGGAGTGAGGGCCAGTGAGCAGGTGGGTAGACAGGAGGGAGAGACCAGGGAGAGCTACATGCTGGAGTCAGGGAGCCTTGGTTCCTGGGAATGGAAGCAGTCGGAGTGGGGGTGTGGGACTGATCTCAGCCTGGGAGGACGGGGTCTTGGGTGAAGGCCTTCACATCAGTTCCTCTGATTCAACACTAGGGAATGGAGCACATTTTCTTTTGAGGAGGGAAGAAGACGGGAAGGAAGGAAAGATTGGATAGGAAGGCAGGTACAGAAGGTCAATCTGGTAAAAAAAAGATATACATCCCTGAGTTGGAACGGGGTGAGGGAGAGTACAGGGTTTGAAGAAGCCAGAGCTATAGAGAGGGTTAGGGGTCGGCCAAGAAGGTCCTGGCAGAGGCTATGTGGTAGAGGGAGTGAGGCTGCACAGGGCTGAGCAAAGAACATGGAGGTACCTCACCAGGGAGGCTGGGGTCATGGCTGAGGGACGGCTCCTGGATGTGGCGGCGAGAAGGTCGAAGAGGCCTAATGGGCTTTCCTAGCAGACCCGAGGAGCGGGAGTAAGAACACAAAGAACAGCAGGCGAGTTGTATATACTTATTTTAAACGAAGAAACTGAAAAAGTCAGCAAGAGAAAGGAGCTGATAGAATAGCAGGAAGGAGTAGGAAGGAAGGGAGTCAGGGTCCAGGTTGAGGGGTCAGCCTGGAGAGATAGGAGAAGCTGGGACAGGAGTGATTTCAAGGCAAAGGGGGAAGATGCGGGATATCTGTCTCCTCTGCAGGGCAGAGCACCAGGGTGTCAGCTGAAGGTTCAGGTGGGGACAAACCAGGATCCCTGGGCAGCGCAGAGGCAGAGCCAAGGCAGCAGTGGAGAGAACACAGCCTGCAGGGACTGGCTCACACATCACAGTGACTTCCTACCAGGATATGATGACCTGGCCATGGAGGCGGGGGAAGCCCAGGGCAGACTCTGTGAGGCCAGGCAGGAGGATAAGGGGGCTGTGTGCTCTCTGAGGAGGCTGCCCATGAGCTGCAGGCGAGGGGAGGAGGTTGTGAGCTTGGAGAGTGCTAGAATTGGGGGACAGGTTAGGGCCCAGAGCCTGGGAGCCGCAAGAAGGCCAAGAATAGGTCCCGGGGAAGGAGTTTGAGGCAAGAGGGCCAGGCTGGGTGGTGAGCCCTGAGGAGGGAGTGTCTGAGCTTCAGAATGTAGCACTAGCACAGAAGGGACAACACTCTCAGATGCTGCCTCTCGGGTGGGAAACTAGAGGTTGGGAGATGAAAGTCCTGGAGTCTAGGCAGCCAGGGAGGTGGGAGGCCAGGGGTACTCTTTCGGTTGGAAAAGTTTCCCTGTTCTGCTTCTGCATGGGGGATTTATAACTGAAAAACAAGCTCTTATTTTATAATGTCTAAAATGGCAATAACTCCCAATTCTGTGCATACTGGTCTACTTAAAATGCACAGTTTTATAAAAAGCCCAATAATTCAGGCACAGGCCTCAGGGCAAACACCCAGGACGGCCCAGAACACGGCCCTGGGGTGCAGCATCTGCTGATGCCACAACCAAGGATCTGAGGCTGCCTGCTCACTGCCGCGGTGTTTTTAGCAAGTGTCCCCAGGGAGCCCTGGCCCACGAGTGGCTGAGCAGGCGTCTCATACTTACTTGAGTTCTTTCTTCACCTCTTCATAGTCAGCCTGTCCTTTGAGTTTTTCTTCCAGTTGCTGAAAACAGAGAGGGTTTTATTAGTTGCCATGTCTGAAATAGGTCAATGGACTCTGCTATAAACTGTTTGTGTCCTTCTGCCACACACACACACACACACACACACACACACCCTTCTTGGCAATGCATGTATGTTGAGATCCTAACTCCCACTGTGATGGATCTGGTGATTAGGCCATGAGGGTGGAGCCCTCATGAGTGGGATTAGTGGCCTTATAAAAGTGGATCAGAGAGGTCCCTCGCCTATTCTATTCTGCAGACACAGAGAGAAGCAAGCAGTCAGGAGGGAGCTCTCACTAGACACCAAATTTGCCAGTGCCTTGATCTTGGATTTCCCAGCCTCCAGGACTGAGAGGAATAAGTGTTTATTGTTTATAAGTCCCCCGGTATATGGTATTCTATTCTGGCAGCCCAAATGATTTCACTGACTACATTCCCTGTAAAGCATCCAGCGGTCCCTGAGAGGCAATGCAAAAATGTACAAATGAAAGTTGATAATGTGTGGTGTCGTCTTTTTTTCTTCACTCTGTGGTCTGGTGTAAGCACATATGTTAGTGGACACAGGCATTCACAAATTCACACACACACACACACACACACCCTCACACAGTCAATATAAGGGTGCAACATAAAATTTGGAAAACAATAAGGAAAATTTTGTACGAATACCATGAAATGACAAACAGAATGAAGAGATGCTCTCCTAGTATTGTAAAAACAGCAAGTGGCTTTTCACAAACCATGTTTGGCTAGCTGATACATACAGTCAATTGCCAACACCCTTGTGGGGCCCTGCAAACCAAAGATACAGTCCCTCTGTTGTTGAGGCTACCATCAGACAGGCACCGGGAGAAAGCACTTACAGGAGCAGCAGCCTGCTCATCTGGGTGGTCAGTGTTTCTGTGACAGCTCTGAACCCCGTGAGGCAGGCCCTCTGAGGGTGCCCTGGCCAGCAGGGCCCCAGCAGATCCCGATGGCTCTGCCCAGGGGTGCAGGGGCGTGAGCACATTTACCAAGCAGGACACTGCTCTAATAGCTCCAGCAGAGTCTGTGCTCGCTGGGTATCCACTGATGGCTTCAGCACAGAGCTAGACAGGCTTTCCTGCCAGGACGGCCTTTGGCATAGGGAGGTCAGCAGCGGCGCTTCCCTCTATGAAGGTGTTTTGGACTCGTCTGCTTTTTTTGTCCCCACTAGGGAGCTCTGTAGGGGAAATAAGCAGCTTAATAAAAATACAAAGACCCAGGTTGAGGGGAAGGGTTCTAATTACTTAGTATGTTTCCAAACCTGGGTGAACAAATTCCTGGGCCTGAATCAAAGCACCTCCCCATCTCCAGGCTTCCAGTCACCTTTGGCTTGACCAGCCACAACTACAATCTCAGTTTAGAGCCAACGGGGAACATGCTGGAGCTGAGGGAGGAGATGCTCATGTGGCCATCAGCTTGGACATTTGCCTGAATCCCACCCTGCTCGCTGTTTCAAGAATTCAGGTGTTCTGTAAACAAAAGTCATTTAGTCCATTTTTCTACTGCATTTACTGGCAGTTTGGTGTATTTTCCATTGCGTAAAATTGTGCTGCCCTAGTTCCTTTATAAGACCTCTTGCCAATGTTATGTTTATAATGGTTCCTCAGCCATAATCAAGCAGAGGGTAGCATGCACTCATTTTCTGACAAAAGATTCTCAGGAGGTGCTCATGAAAAAATGATTACTTCATTCTTCTCTTTATGGTGGAATAGCAGGAAGCACTAATGTGCCAACCCTCCCAAACAAAAGATTATCCGGTGCTGCTGGGATACAGAAACACTTTTCAGATTGAGGAATTCACTGACGCTGGATACGATACACATAAAACTTGGTCATGTTCAGAGATCAGGAGAAAGAAAGGAAGCGAGAGGGGAAAACATGGAACACTTCAGAATCCAGCATGTCAGTGAACCTGGAGTCAGTTCTGCCTCTTGCAATTTTTGTGACCTTGGCTTGTTAATAAACTTCTGGTCTGTAGAATGGGATAGCAGCAATGACCTTAAAGGGTTTAGCTAAGGGGCGCAAAGGCAAGGACCTGTTGCAAATGTTGGCACGGTGGGCCTTGGATGTGGGACCATTACCATTGCCAAGTCCCAATCTATTTTTCTGAGAGCACAATTGCAGGTCTTTTTTTGCAGACCTGAGGTTGGCCCCAATCAGAAGACTCTAGGACTGGAGTCTGTAATTTGGTTGGGTATAAGCATTCACTGAGAACTAAACAGCTTCCACTGAAATTTCTGCCACCACTTTAATTAGGAACCCAAGACCACGCCTATAAAACTGACGATGTCTCTGCTCGTTGGGCAAATGGATGGAGATCTGACCAAGCTTGTCCTGACCTGTGAGAACTTCAGCCTATCCTCACAGAATTCTCCACAGAGTGCCAGGAAGCATAGGTTGGGGCTGAGCACTGGCCTCTGACACTGTAAATGCTCATCATGGAAAAAAGACAAAATGTCCTCATCTCAGTTCTTTGACCAGAAACTCCTTGTTGAGTACCTGGAAAGTCTACTTCCAAGACTCAATTTGGAAAGGGCAACAGGTGCTTTAGTCTGCCCTTCTCGTTGGACAAAGATTCCTCTCTCAGAATCGCTAATGCTCACCAGGGAGGCCCAATTCTATGCTTGGTTCTGCATCTACTTAATTGTTGCAACACCCTGCAGAGGCATCTATCTGTCTGACCGAAGGAAGAAAAATAATCACTGAGCTCTACAATCAGACATCATCAGAGCGGAGGCCGCTCTGTTCGCCTGTAGCAACTTGGGGAAGAAGTGAAAGGCTGGTGTGCTGAGCCTCACAGGCTGGGCGGCACCTCACAGATGCAGGGAAATCTTCACAAGACACCTAACTTCTCTAGGCTTCAGTTTGTTCGTAAATGGGGGCAGTGATGCACACAGCACCGTGCTTCTGTGAGGCTTCAATGAAATAATGCGTATTAAGTGCTTAGTGCAGTGGTTGGCACATGGTAAAGCACTTGGCAATGGCAGTTATTGTTACCCTAGCTATTATTACTTTACCCTTGAATGTGACTAAATTGTTTCTGAAGAGGCTCTGTGGTTCTGAATCCAGGAGCTCTGTTTATGACGTTCTCCACATCCCAGTGTCATCTCTCAATGTCCCCATTGTTCTGTGGCAGATCCATGGGGGAGGAACACAGGTGCCCGGAGCGGTTCTGGCTCCTAAATGATGATGGCAGGAAAGGCAGCCCGCATCCAGTTCCATGAATGCAGACTTTGGAAGCCAGATTATCTTCCTGAAAAGGTACTTATCTGAGCAGCACACACGGGCTTTATACAGACAGGCGAGAAATGGCCACATGACAGAAACAGGTTGCTAGCTCAGTTCCAGCCTGGCTGAGCTGTGACTGTACTGGCCGCAGCGAACACACTTGGGACAGTGAAATGAAGGACACAGAAGAAGTAACAGGAGAGCCGAGGCTGGGTTGCTTTGGTTCACTGGGAAGTCAGAGAAAGGGGGTTAGGCCAGGATGAGCTGTGCTGCTCATTGCTCCCCTGGTTGCAAATCTTGTGGGTTTCCTTAGAGTTTGGGAGATGTAGGTCTGTGGGGGAAGGAAAAGGGGAGACAATGGCATGGGCTTCCTGTAGGGGAGAGGACGCTCTAGAAAGTTTTTAAATTCCTAGCTAAGACTCAAATATAAGACAATTTAATTAAAATGCAAAGTATTTTGGTGTGTAGCAAATTAGGCACTTATAAACGGTATCTATCTCAGCTGTACCACAGGGCTTTCCATGCTCTGGGCTACCAACTTAAGAGGCCCCTGGCACGGGACACAATTACAAAGAACCTGGGGAAGGCCGCATCTTCCAGGCTGCACAGCGAGGGGTCAAGAGAGCAACCCCTCTTTGCAATAGAGCAGACTGTGGGCCAGAGAGGTGACTATGGTGCAGTCTGCGGACAGCTCCACTTTCCTCCTCCAGGATGATTGGAGCCAGGCTCTTAGCAGTGCTGTCTGAAGACTGGCAGTTCAGGTGATTCGCCTGGTACTCACTCACCTGGAACCCTGGGCTGAGGGGCCACCGGTCAGAGCTGATCAAGTGTGACCGGGTTCCCTGGCCCAGGGCAGGAGTTTGAGGCAGAGCTCCTGGGGTTGATACAGATTTTCTGGGGTCCAGGACTAGGTAGTGTGTGCCTCCTTTTCACCTAAACGAGGACCCCCTCCAGTCCCCGCTGTTCCTCGGGGAGAGGTAGATCTACAGATGCTGGGCAAGGGGGAGAAGCCCAGGGATGGCTGGGTGGGCACTGTGCACACATGGATGCTGAGAATTCGAGACGAAAAGAGGAGACTGTAGCCAGAGAGGGGGTTGGCGGGGAGAGTGACAGTTATGCTGGAGCACCTGCTGCAGGCGGGCGAAGGGTGGCTCTGAATAAAAGAGGAGTCCTCCTATGGTAACCCTGTCACAGGTCACCTCCAACTTCCTCGAGCTATGACCCAGGTACAGGGCGGAATGGTGTCATCACACAGCAGGAGGGTCCTGGCCCTATACAGGCCATCTGGACATTGTAGTCGTGGTCAGCTAAGGGTGCTGCAAGCTGGGGACTATGCAAGTGAAACATCTGGATTTACTCACCAAATGATGAGAGCACATGCATCTTTGTAAGAGGATTCATTGTAGATTCCCACCATGAGCTCCCTGATGTGTCTCCAGTAACACCCTCTGGCTCACAGCAATTTACAGGACACCACTGAAACCTCCAGCCCATGTCGATCCTAGCACAGCCCTTCTGGTTTCTGGAGATTGCTTCCCCCAGGCCTCACCACTGCTCTCTCTGAGTGGTGCCATCTTTGCCTTCCTCCTCCCCATGGAAAGCTCACTGACCTTTCCTCCAATCTGCTCACAGTGCCTTCAAGACCCAACCAGGGCAAGGCTTTGGGAGGTCGGTCCTAGGCTCCTCTGCTTTCAGGATGCAGATGCTCCTGCCGCCCAGGGCAAGTCTCTCTATGGTGGTGGGTGGGTGCAGTGGAGGCACATGTGGGTCTCCCATATACAGCGCCGGGCTAGAAACTGCAGGGCCTGGCCTCCCCTAACCATAGTGACCTCCTCCACAAAGCGGCGATCATCATGACCGCTTGCCTGTGAGTGTCAAATGGGATGTGGAAGTTAGAGCTTTATATACTGCGCTGTTGCCAAGATGCTTGTTAAAACATTATAGAGGGCAGCCTTTATGCAGTCAACACACTGCCTGGTGAGGAAACTTATGTAACCAAAGCGGCAGCATTCAGAATTAAAGGCATGGAATGACTGTAGAGAAGTAGTCTTTTGTTCCCATCCCAACCTCCTAAGGGACACAGCATGCTCTACAGTGGCTCAAGAGGACCACCAGCACGTCAGGAGGTGGGGTGAGGGGCCCAGAGGGTCGGGGAGGCATGCACAGCTTAGAGACAGTCCTGCAGGTCACTGTAATACACCTGCCCAAAGATGTAATTTCTCCCTATGGGAGAATGGCATTCTTTTAGCTATCTTTTCTTATAAATGTAATTTTAAATGGAAGCTTTTGGTAGCAATGTTTTCTGTGCTATAGTGAGAATAATGTAGGTGACTGCCTAATTATATTGCCTCTACTTAAAAAAATTATTTTATTTTTATCTTCACCCAAGGAGTGAGAATATTTTTTCTACTGATCCTCTACAGAGTGGAAGGGAGAGGCACATTGCTTCCCGCACATGCCCTTGGGGTGGGGAATGAACCTGCAACCTAGGTATGTGCCCTTGATCTGAATTGAACCCTTGACCCTCTGGTGTGCACACATTCTGATGCTCTTACCACGGAGCACACCGTCCAGGGCTATACTGGCTTCTGTTTTAAAGTATCCCAACAGAAGACCACAGAATAGAATTATCAAAAATTAATGGGTTATTTCATTAATTACGAATACAGAATTGAATGTTACAAGTAGCACTGTACTTGAGCACTGGTAGGCAAGGCAGAAGGAAACACCTCCTGCTTCTGAGTCCATTTCCATGTCTATTTGAAGGTTCGAGGATGCACCACTGTATATGGAGAGCGACACGTTTATGGTGAACTTGGCTTGAAAAAGCGAAACACGGGGAGGGAGAGACTGGTAAACATCCAACTGTCAAGCTAGCCTCAAATCATTACAAATCAGTTGTCTAAGTGAAGGGAAGAAATCTCATTCATAGAGATTGTGAGCTTCAAGGTGCTAGAGTAGGTGACCAATTAGCCCCCAGAACCATTCCATTACAGAGAGCACCACAGAGTGTGCCGGCAGAGAGATGACTCTCATAATCTCAATAGTCTATAAAGATTCTGCCCTTATGCCGTCTGCCCTTGTGAGACCAACCTCCCACATTCCACCCGTGACTGTCATTAGCATTTCCCTTAAAGACCATTGTTAATGTTCATGGCAAAGCACCCACAACTCCAAGATGCTGAGGTGGCTGGAAGCTGCCGCATCCTCAAACTGATCCCAATTTGAGCCCCACACAGTGTCCCCAAAGCTGGACAACATGGTCCAAGAAGGAAAGGGGTTGCGGGGAGATGGGAGAGGGAGGAAAGGGGTGGGAGAAGGAGGAGGAGAGGAGAGCCCCGGCAAGTTCAGGACAGCTTGCTGTTGCTTCTGTGCGGCCACCACCGCGGGGTCACAGACGCCTGTTGCAAAAGCATCGGGCTGTCAATTTGATAGGCCTCATTCATAAAATATTTTCCTAATAATTGTACCACTGCTTACACCCTGCAGTTTAGATTTGAGACTATAAATTATACACATTAGGGGGGGAAAAGAGCCCTGGGAAGGTATCTCATTCAATTAACCTTACTCCTTAGGGGAAGGCTAATGCCTTTTGTGTGCAGTTCGATATTGGGGAGGTCTTCACTCCTGGCGAGAAGGGGTTAAGATTATTAAAACCAGAGAGGTCTTGTTACTAGGGGATATGTTTTGATTATTAGATCAGATGAAGATAAGGGAGCAATAATTTTGGAAGAAGTATTGCCGAATTGTTTCATTAACTGCACAGTATTAAAGATTTCCCCCAAGATATGGATAAAGAACATTGATTTGTGAAAACTGTGTTTCATTTTTTGTGAAGGCAAACATTAAACCTTAACTGGTTTAGAAGAAATTGCTCTAGAATAAAAAATGTGAGGTCTACAGCCTCCCTCTTACGAAGCCCAATGCGGAATGCATTTGAGTCAAACCTTTTAATGGTAACAGAGGAAAGAAAGGCAGATTATTTAATAATAATGCCAATGCTAGGGATAGAAATGGCTGTAATGAGGAAATTAGATTTAATCTAGAAATAAAAAATGAGCACTAGTACTCACTGAGCAGGCTGATGAGAGAAAAAGACACAATGAAGAAATAAATGCCATGGTTGTGACAAATGTGACTAGGTCTCAAACATCTTCCCAGTCATAGGATTATCTACTCCCAGGAGCCCAGGCACCTGGAAGTTTCTTGGCTGTGGGCTCTGCCAGTACCAGCGAGTTGTTGGGAACTTAACTCTGGGTCAGAAACATGGTCATGTGTCAAGAAGAAAACTTTCAATGGAAAAAAATCAAGATGGCCCTAACTACATTCCAGAATTACTCTATATAAGAAAAAGTTGTCTTGACATTTTTATAATTAAGCTTGATCCGCTTTAGTTAGCATACAATGATTATACTTGGTATTCATTCATTCATTCATTTATTCATTCATTTGATCACACAACCCACAAATGGATGCTGAGTGGGGGTAGGAGGAGGCCCAGTGGGCCTCGTGGAGGGACAGCAGAATGGGGAGGAGGAACATCTGGCCTGGGAGCAGGGGCTGAGCCTGTGCTGGTAAGACACTCTGAGGAGGCTCTCTGGCTCTGACATGCAAGGAATCCAGGGTTCCCAGACTATCTTCAAATTACACTAAGTAACTTCAAGTGATAGGAAATAGCTTACGTAAAAGTATATATATTTCAATATAATGAAAAAGATTCCAGGTTCTGCATTTGGGACACAAAGTTTTGAGAAACCCCACGAGGATCTAGCTTTTGTCTGGGCTGCTGGGATTCTGCCTGCGAGGAAAGAGGCCAACTGTGTGAGCTGTACTGGAGTAACACATTTTGGGCTGCTGTGGTACAGCCCAGGCCTGAGGGATAAAAAATGATCTTGCAGCTTGAGGGTATGGCCCAGGGGGCTCAAGGTACCCCTTGCTTTCATTTCATCTGGGCACAGGCAGAGCTCACATTTCAGTGTGCCTGGGCAGCCCAGCGGAGCTGACTAACGGCATGTTTATGCAGACGGCCTGCGAACTTGACAGCCACTCTTACCCCCCGAAGAACACGGAGAGCCTCAGGTGCAGCACTGCCAGCTGCAGCTCTCAGGTGGAGAAGTAGTGCCGTGGGTGGGAGGGCACTGAGGATGGGGCTTCTGCCAAGTGCTGAAGGTGCTGCCCAGGCTGGAGCTGGCAGAGGGTTCAAAGCCCATCTCCCTGCCTTGGGTGACAGGACTCTGCTTCTACCTGCTTCACAGAGGTTCAAGGTTGCCATATTTGTTGGCAATTCCGATGTGATGCCTTCCAAAAAAGAACTCTGATGGAATTTAGACACCCATGCTTCTGACTGAGGTGCCCCAGGGCGCCTCATGCCTTGTCATTCTGTTCTGACCGGAGGGAAAAGCTTGTTGATGGCTGGAGCTCAGACTAAGAAATATCCATGCAGTCATTTTGGCTTTTAAAAGAGATCAAATTTTAACCTCTGTCTTTGTAGACCACTAAAATAAGAATACCTGTGCGATCAAGGCAGGGCCAAGAAGGCAGCTTCTGAGAGACAAGGCCTCCTGCCATGGTCACTAAACCCATTGGGTGTCCCAGACACTGGGCAGAAGCATCCATGAGGAGCTCTCAGGAAGCCAGAACCACCGTGCAGGCCAGTCCCAAGCTGCCTCCAGGGCCGTGTGTGGAGGAAGGCCAAGGGCACGAACGTGCACATCCGGCCCTCCCTTGCCCACCAGCCCCCATGGTGCCTTACTTTGAGTGTGCTGTTCTTGGCACTCAGCTGCTGCTCGAGCTGGGAGATCTGGCTGGCGGAGTTCTCCCGCAGCCTGGTGAGGCTGGCCTGCAGTCTCTGCACGTCCTCCACGAGCTGGGCGATTTCCCGCTCTTTGGCGGCCAACTCAACTTCGAGGCTGGAGCGGGTCAGCACCTCGATGGCCTGCTCCTGGGAAGGAGAAAGGAAATGACAGAACTGCACCGGCTCAGGCCGGTGCGGGGTTAGCTGTGCTGGCAACGGCGGCAAACCAGCAGACGGGAGGATGTGGACTGTGAGCTCATGGTAAGACATTACCTCTTGCTTCTGCTTGGAAGGACCTACTGACTGCTTTCCCCACACCACCCTTCCATCCGCATGATGAGCTGCCATCCATCGGGTTTGTCCATTCAACAACATTTATGAGTATCAGGCACAGAGCAGTGGACAAACGGTGGACATCCCTTTCTTCGTGGGGCTTCTAGTCGGTGCGTGGGTGGGTGAGTGCACTGAATGAATTCATTAGCAGCATAAAGCGCCAAAGAAAAGCTGAAGCAAAAAGAGGCCGTAGGGTCAGACTTGAGAGAGGCCGTTGGGATTTTAATAAGATGGTCAGGAAAAGCCTTATGAGATGGTGATATCTGTGCAAAGATCTAACGGAGGCAACAGGAAGGGCCTGCTGGGGATGAGTGCCTCAGCCAGGGGAATGGCAATGGGAAGGCTCTGGAATGCTCCAAAACATTCAGATCTTCTCCCACCAGACGAGACTCAATGTCTTTCGGTTCCTTACAGAGCTATCTAGATGCTATGTTGTTTGACAAATTGAATTTTAGAGTCAGCATTTTAATAAGACTTAAGAGATGTGGAAGATGCACATTTGGGGCTCCTTTGCTTATAAATTCTTACAATGATTGATTTTTTTTTTTTTTTTTAAATCTTCACCTGAGGATATTTTTTTCATTGATTTTTTAAAGGGAGAGTAGAAGAGAGAGAAAGACAGAGAAATATTGATGTGAGAGAAACACATCAACTGGTTGCCTCCTGCACAAGCACCGACAAGGGCCGGGCCCAGGGAGGAGCCTGCAACTAAGGTATGTGCCCTTGACTGGAACTGAACTCAGGATCCTTTGGTCTGCATGCTGACACTCTATCTACTGAGCCAAACTGGCTAGAGTATGATGATTTATTTTTTTTTAAAACTTACCTCCTTCCCCAATTTGTTCATTGTGAAAAATATGTAAAACAGGGAAAAGATATTAAAAAAAAGAAAAAAAAATTAAATCTGTACTTCCACTTCCTAAGGACCAAAGTAATGATGGCTCCTGAATGATTCTGGAAGCTTTTTTGCAGGGTGGATATACTTTGGGGCATGGCAACGGGAATGGGAAGGATAAATCTGTATGTGACAGCAGAGACTCAGGGCAGCTCACACTGCACTGTAGAATGAATGCCATCATCCTTGCTGTCATCTGCTACATGCCCCTGACTAGGGACTGAACCTGCAACCTGGGCATATTGAGACAGAGCTCTAACCAACTGAGATACCAGGCCTGGGCTCACTTCACTCCTTGATCTTGCCTCTACTGGAGTAGAAAACAGCAGCTGCGCCCTCGCCTGTTTGGCTCGGTGGATAGAGTGTCGGCCTGTGGACCGAAGGTTCCCAGGTTCAATTCCGAGCAAGGGCATGTACCTCAGTTGAAGGCTCCTCCCGGCCAGGGCCTGGTCAGGGCTCATGCAGGAGATAACCAATCGATGTGTTTCTCTCACATCAATATTTCTCTGTCTTTCCTGCTCTCTAAGGAAAATCAATGGAAAAATATCCTCGGGTGAGGATTAAAAAAAAAAAGAAAAGAAATGGCAGCTGCAGCCCCAGGTGGCAGGGACAGGCATGCCACTCTATGCACGATGTGCTTGTTACGGGGTTTTCACATTTGGGGACAGTGAGTCACCAGGGAAATAATTCTGCACATCTCCCTCCTGGCAAACTAAGGCCCCTACCATTTAAGAATGTAAAGTTTTATGTGCAAAGAAACGATTCTTTCCTGTTTCTTTGATTTGTATAATATCAATTGGAAATTAAAAAAATAAAAACAAAACTCTCCTTTACCACAGTTAGGGGAGCACCACCCTTGATCACACTGGCCAGGTCAAGGTCAGGGGCCTAAGATGAGTCCTCTGGCAGTGCCAGGGGTTAGCACCTAGAACAGTGAGAGAGGCATGCAGAGGTGAACCCCAAGGAGGGGGAGAAGGGCACAGTGGGAAAGGGCTGGTGGATCTCATGTGAAGGAAGAGGGGCTCCATTCCAGAGGAGATGCCACAGGTGGGCACAGAGGTTGGAAAGGGCATGAAGCTGGCACAAGGAGGGACTGATGCTTAGAGGACAGTTCAGAAAAGGGCATGTTGGTGATTCTGCCTGGGAGAATCAGCGGGTGCCAGAGCTGCCTGGACTGGTGAGGGGAGTGACATTCAGGGAGGTTGGTCTCAGGGTGGGTAGAATGAACCATGTTATCTAATTTAACTTATTTATCAATTTTCTAACCTGATGGATGCCAGAATAAAAACTGTTTAAATGCTCTTAGGAGAAGAGTCTGTAAAACAAGCCAAAAGGTGATCTGGGCTTTCCAACTGGCAAGTTACTATATTAGGGGCAAGAGGTTCAAACAATACAGGGTGGGCAAAAGTAGGTTTATAGTTGTGAATGTATGGAACACAGAGTTTATACTTATTATTTTCCACATGAACAACTGTAAACCTACTTTTGCCCCAGCCTGTATATGTAAAAAGACAGTGTTGAACGTGGGTGCAGGATGGGAACCTGGCAAAGGCAGTCCCAGAGGACCATCTGCTAAACTCCGGAGGCCCAGTGTGGCCTGGCCACAAGCTGACTGTGTGACTGTGTGAACTCACTCAGGAACCTGGGCCACAGATTCCTCATTTATAACATAGCAAAAACCATTGTGTCTTGCATAAACTAAATGAGATGAGGTGATATGCTCCAAAGCAGTAAGGCCTTGGAAATCAGATAGAAAAGATCACCCTACTCCAAGCCCAAACGTGGCTCACTCTCCTCTCACACACTAAGACATCCTTATTGTTTCACTGTGAAACTAAGAAAGAAATTAACAAGGTCGCAGGAAATGATCCACAGGCTGCAGGTGGAGAGGTCTGTGCATGGATGACAGAGCTGGGGCCTCTCAGTCTGAGGATGGAGCTAGAAAGGAGGTTGTATGACAGGGTGAAGGGGGCTGAGAGGAGGGTGCCTTTTCAGCCACAGAAAGGTTGGTGCCAGGTGGCTCGGATGCTGCTGAGATAATTACAGTACTGAGAGGATTTGAGGAGGCCCAGGACCATAGGTCCCCTCGTGTCCATATAGGCCTCTAACCAGCTGCACCTGAACCACTTGGGAGCTTTAAAAAACATATGGATTCTGGGCCCCACCCTGGAAACCATGGTTCAGAGGGTCTGAGGTAGGGCCTGGGACTCCCTGGTAATTCTGGTAGGGTTTGGGCTCAGAACCCTGGCTTGGATTGTAACTTCTAAAGGACCTGTGTGTGACAAGAGTGACAAGAGGTCCCTGTGGGCACCAGAGTGAGGTCATGAGAGTCTGTCCCTGCAGAGGTAGTCCCATGACCCCAGGCTTCCAAGACCTGTGAGGGTCCCTACATTCCTCATGTGGGCTGGGTCTCAGGTATGGAGAGCACTGATGGCTCAGGAGCCAGGAGAGAATACGTGGGAATACTCTGTAGAGTCTAAGGACATTATAAAAAAACGAAGGGCTTAAGATGATGATAGTGTGTGTGTGTGGGTGGGGTGGAGTGGTATTTCCAAAGGGAAAAATTAACAAGAAAACAGAAGTTACTGACGCACTAGTCCATTAAGTTTTATCCCTTTCAACCCATTTGCCTCCTCTCTCCCAACCTGCTTGTGTGAAATATCACAAGTTGTGCAACTGTCTAGTGAGTCTTCCTACTGAGATTAGAACATCGAGGTTGAAATAAGCTAGATAATCATCTTTTATCCTGTTGCCATTTTCATATTAAACATGAATGAGATGCAGGAGCGCTACTCAATTGAGGAAAACCGAATTGTGAAATGATGGTGCACCTAGGACCCTAGCCTGCGAGACAGATCCTTGGAGTTGAGGCTGATCATAGCTCTCTTTGCTCCAGCAGGAAAGATGAGAGAAGGCTGCTCCTCTCTCACTGCCACCTCCATTCCTGCCAACACCAAGCCGCTGAGGTAGGCTGGGTCTATGCAGTGTGTGTCTCTCACCTGAGAGACAGACAGGTATACTTCCTAATATTATGGTTTGCTTAGGTTTAAGAAGGTGAACAAATAATATCTGTCTTATAACTACCTGACAAAGGACCTGCAAATCTACTGGGGTACTGGATGTGGAGAAAAGAGTAGACTTTGGAGGACAAACTTATGATCAAATGCCAGTTTGATCATTTTCTAGCTGGGTGATCTTTGGCAAATTACTTAACTCCTCTGAGCCTCTCAGTTCCCATCCCTGTGGTATGAGGACACTAAAACCTGCCTCAAAAGACCCGTGTCACGAGGTAGCAATGAAGCAACCGCACAAAGCCCCAGCAGGGCCCCTCACGCAGAGCAGGTACTCTGCGTGGTAACTCACCTTCACAAACTGGCAATTCCGGTACGACACCCAGCAGATTGGTCTGGGCCTTTGCTAGATCTATAGACTCTACTGTTTCTCTTTTGAGTCCTGCCAGCCAAGCCCAACAGACATTCCCCAGCTGGCCCAGTTTCCGGTGCCTGCTCCCTGGCTGGCTAAGCTGACTGTGGGAATGCACACCCGAGGGAGCCTGGCAGGGCCGCTCCTGGAAGACTGAACCTGTGCCATGTAAACACGGCACTTAGCCGATGATGAAGTGTTTAAGCACCCCTAGGATCCACAACTTACTCTACCTGCAAAAACATCCATTCCCTTCTGAAATGTTTTGGTTGCTACAGCCCAGGATGGTGCCAGAAAAGCTTTCAATCAAGGCACTGAGCTCAGGAGCCCTGTGTGGACACATTGGGACGGGCGGCGTTCTCCTGAGGACCAGCATTCACCATGCAGGCCAGGAGAAGCCACACTGACTCCGTCTTCCAGGGCTTCCTCTCTGTGACACTGGGGCCAGTCCACGTTAACATGGAGGAGGGGATGTTAACAAGCCGAGGGCCATTTCAGGTAAAATTAGAAACAGAATCCATGAAGCATGAAGGATGTAATGATCCCTAATTTGAAGAACTTTTCTCCATACCCTGAGATACTTAAATCATGTTTTATTGAATGTTCAAGAAAGGAAACAAAAATCCATTCTGAAAACAGGTCCTGCACTAAAACTCTGCTTTAGATTCATTCCTGAGAAATAATTTAAAAGTTCTAGTCTAAGGTGGCAGAAGCTCCCCCACCCTTGAATCCTGGCATGGCCCCTGGCCGCACGCACTCTGGAGCTGGGGCTTATATTCATGGAGCTTCCGTTTCCTCACCTCCATAGAGAAATAACAAAACCCCACTTACGGGGGAGGTGGAATAATGGCTGTCAAACTGACGTGTGCCCAACTGGCACATGCTCACTACAGTAGCAAGCCTTCCTGATTCGATTGTGCTCCCTGGGAAGGGCCTGGCTTGTGGTTGCTTGCTCTCCCAGTGCCCATATGGGCCCGTACACAGCAAGGGCTCTGTGACTCTGTGTTAAGGAAAAGGACACCTGTGAGTGCGGTTCACTCATCACAGGCTGTCAGAGCTGAAGGCACCTCAGGATCACTTATTCCTCACTCTACACACAGGAACACTGAGGGCTAGGAAGTTTTACTCCCTGGGTGTGTACAAAAGTGACACAACTGAGCTTCAAGACCAGGGCTCCTGAATCACAGATAATGATGCCAATCACATGAAAGTAATTGCTAAGGTTTACTGAGGACTTATTATGTGCCAGTTTGTGCTTTGCTCGTTTCTGAAACCCTTGTAAAACCCATTTTACAGATGATGAAATTGAGACTCATGGAGGTTAAAGGAATTGTCCAGAGTCACAGAGGTGGGGTCTGAACCCAGGGGCGTGGCTCCTATATCCAGGTCTTTACTAGATGCTGCTCCATGTAACTGCTCAGCACTGAAGGAAAGACTCTGGAATCTGATAGCTATAAGCCGCCTCGATCGAGCTGGGAAAGTTCCAGCTAAGAGAAATTTTTATCAATATTAGAGAAACCAAAAGGCGAAGGCACTGGGATGAGAGCCTTACCCTTCCTGAATGCCTACACTTCCGGCAAGATTTGGGGGATTTGACTCAGAGTGGGTGTTACCTTATTATCTCCTTGGCTTTCATCGTGAAATTTTTCTCACTCTCCAGGTCTCAGAGGAGTTAACTCAGAGGAGTTAGGTAATTTTCTACTCAGAAGATCCAACTGCCAATTTTTTGGCAAAGCTCCAGTTTCAGATCTCCACCCATCTGCCAGCCGACACCCCACAAGCCTCGCTGGGAAAACGTTCCCTTTGGTGATGGGATCTGTTTCCACCTCCACGCTGGGTGGACGTCACGCTGACCACAGAGCATCAACGCAGAATCAGCAAAACTTCCTTCGACTCTATAACAAGTTCCATCCCCAAATTGTTAAAAGCATTCCCCACCAAGGCAGCAGTGTTACTTAAAACAGTCCAAAGAGGGATGTTAAAAAGCAGAGGAAGAAAGCAGCTGTAACAGGCACAGATGCCAGGCAGGCAGAGTCCCCACAGGGCCCGGCTACCCACCACGTCCGGCGCCTTCTGGATCTGCGAGGCCAGCTGGAGAGAGTGGTTGGCTGACGAGAGCTGCTCTCTTAAGGTCTCCGCCTCTCTCTGAGCCACCTCTGCCCTCTGAAGGAAATGAAAAGGGTGAGAAGAGAAAGTACATTCAGTTTAACAACTGACAATTATTACAAGAACATTCATCAATTCATGCCTGACTGACTGTAATTGATTTTCCTAAACACTCAACCTAATAAATGCTAGAAAAAAACATAGAATGTGATGGATTTTTATTTTAAACAGTACAAGGAAGAAATAATTGAGCGATTATGACAGTAATTTAACGCTAGGAGCAAGGAATCCCCTGCTGATAGTAATGCTCCGGCCCACTGAATTTCCCAGACTGAATAAATACAAGAGGAAATGGAGTCTTTTGATTCAATTTCTTTCTCTTCTCATAGACCAAGAAGATTTTATTGCAGGATTACTCCTGGGAGTAATTCTCACAGGTAAACAGTGAATTAAAGACACTCTGGCCATTCTCTTCCTAAAAACATGCACAATGTTGTGGTTGTTTTCCTTCGGCAAGTATTTCCATAAATGTACAGGGTGTAAATGCCACTTCTTTTGTGAGGGCCAGGCTTATTTCAACACATTTAACCCTTCACCCGACAAGGTTTTCTAATGCCGATGCTGCCATTCCAGCCAGCACGCTGATTTGGGGCCAGAGGCAGGAAGTGGCCCAGGCTCACTGGGGGTGGGGAGGGACAGAGCTGACTACAGGAAGGAGGTCCAAAGAGAAATGAGTCAACACTTCTATCATTTGCATGTAATTCCCAGGCAAGGAAATCAATGCCACTGGACAGCCAATCAGGATTTCCCACTGAAGGGCAAGAATAGGTCACCCTGGTGTCTGTCACAGGAGAGGGCATTGTGGTGCAGGGGGCAGAGGTTGGGCATTTGGGGAGAGAGGGACCAGGGCCAGTTACCTAACTAAGCTTCCACCTTTCAACCTCCAAAACTGAAACGCCACCACGCTCTCAGAGACCGCCAAGGATTAACATCTGCAGAAGGGCACGCTACACAGAGCTCATTCAGAAAGGTTTTATTAATGGGCTTGTCCTGCTTTTACAATTACAATGAGATGAAACTCCAAGGTGGGTGAGAAATGGTAGCTGATTCACATTGGACACGCAGGCTGAGAAACACCGTGCTCATTCTTTCTACCAGACTTACATTCTGCTAATAGAAAAGATTAACGAGAAAAGCCTGGCTGAGCAGGGCTATTTCATGTGTTTTCTCATTTTGTGGTGTGACGTTCTGTGTCTACTAATTTGCTAGGAAAGACTGAAAAAGAGAAACAAGAAGTTAGCCTGCCCCAGCACTTGCTGATCAATCTTGCTGAATCAGAACGGGCTGGCAGCTTTATCCCATCATGTGACGGCAGCACAAACCTATCTGCTCTGCCTACAGACAAATTAGGATATTCCCAAGAGCAGTTACTTCTGCCAGGGGGGTGCTGATGGCCGCCTGCCCTGCCTTTCCCTGAACTCTTGGAATTGCATTCGATCGAATTCGCCCAGCGCCTGGTCGGGCCTGTCTGTGCTCGGGAGCCGCCTCCCTCGCTCTCCGCTCCAGAGCCTGTAGAAGCGCCCACCAGGAAAGGTGGCGATGTGACCGTGTGGCGAAGGTGGCAAGGTGGTTTCTAGTTTATGCTAACCGCAGGAAAGCCGTCTCAGTGAGGAAGATTCCCCAAAGGTGATATCTAAATGTGCCACTGCAAGTTTCTTCTGATAAACATGTCCTCTTACGGAAAGTTTACTCGTCGCTTTCTAGTTAGCTACACTTGGGCATAATGTCTCCATGCCTTTCCAGGAATAAGGTGCATTTTGACACAGTTCTAGTCTCTCTGCCTAGGAAACCGATTTCTTAGCCAGGTGGAGGAGGTGTGCTGGTAGCAGCGAGCAGCAGCATCACTGCCCACCCTGCCTGGCAACGCTGGCTCCGGAACCACCGGGGCTGGGCAGCCTGGGCAGGAGGCCGCCGACCAGGATCTCATGCAAGCATTTAGCTGCTCGGAGCAGAGTGCTGTCTCATCAAAGGCCAGTGGCTCACAGGACAGGGATCTAGCTGTTAATGATTTCACCCTCAGTTTGCATAATTTCTCCAGAGCTGCTGTGCTTTATTCCGTTTCCAAGTTCATGTACAGAGTGGCTCTGTGACCTTTCCATGCCGGTCACATCCACTGATCACATTTGGCTTGGGGCCTGGTTACTCCACTGCAGCTTTGTGATTGTTTAGGATATATATTATTTATTTAGGCTTTATACCTTGAGTATATAAAAAACAAAACAACAATAAAAATTAATTGAGGTGGTTTGTGTAGCCAAACATGGACAAAACTGAGCAATTGAAAATAAAACAGGACTGAGAGTGGCTGAGACAGGGAGATTCTGTAGTTGTAAATTTAGTCCCATCTTTGGCATCTGAGGCAGAAAGGGGTACTATGTTGGGTCAGCAGCATGGTGCCAGTTGTTTCTGGGGTCTCCCATCTTCCCAATGTCCACAGACCTATCAGATAAGGCCTGGTTGTTTCTAGAACTGGAATCAATGGCAGGAGAGGGAAAACTCTGGTGCTGTTTTCTGATCTAGAACCCTAGACACAGAGATGTGGCTGCTATCAGACAGACACTCCATTCTGTTTCCACTGGTGGGGCCCTTCCTCCCCTGTCCCTCCAGAGGCAGAGCCTGGGGACCGACGCCAGGACTCCCACAGGCAGCTGGCGACAGCCCTGGGTGTGATTTAGTGGCTACCCTGTGATAAGAATAGCGCCTTGCCTGAGCTGCTCTCCCAGGAGTTTTCGCTTGCTAACTGTTGCTTACTTTCTTCTCTGAGAAGTGAGAGTAAATGCTGGAAGTAAAAAAGGAGCTAGAGCCCTGAGGTGACCCCATGTTAGTGACTCCATAGGAGAGAGCTCAGGAAGCTCTCCTGAGAAACTTATTGCCACGTGTCCCAAACTAGCCCTGCACTGGCAACCAGTCCCCGGACAGACCTGCTGCCATGTTTCCAGGGCTCAGTGCGTATCGGTTTGGATTTCTTTCTCAGGTCAGCCAGGCTGAACGCTGGAACTACACCAAGGCCAACCTGTAAACCTTACTTGTCATGGCCTGAATCATAATTTCAGGAAAGGCAGAGGAGCCAATTTCCCTATCTCCTCCCGCCCCAGGAGTGGCCCCAGGGACTCTCTCCCCAGGCCTTTGAGGCCCACCTGACCTGGGCTGGAAGCCCAATTCATCACATGAAGAAACCAATGTTCCCGGGAGACCCAAGGAGTGACCAGGGGTGCACACATGGCTAACTTACTGGCAAAGAACCCAGATGAGACCAGCACCTCCAACAAGGCCTGCTCGCAGCAGATGCTCACAAGTATTTGCTGTATGAATGGGGGCTTGATGAGTGCGGGCTCTCTCAGACATGTGAGTGATTACCTCAGTCTGTAGGCGGGGAAGCATGTGCTGGGAGACTGAGGATTTTCTCAAGGCCACATGGGTAGGAAATGGGAGATCTGGGATTCAAACTCCGCATCAGAACACAAAAAATTTGGTTAAAAAAAAAAAATGCCGTGTCTTGCCTTTTGAGTTTTTTTTTTTTTTTTTTTTGCTCTTTGCATTTCTCTCAGTCTTGACTCCTCCTCCTTAATGGAGTTAAACTGTGGTTCCCAACTGAACCACCACTTGGGGGTCTTCTGCTAGGGTAGTCTCCTCCTTAACCATCAGGCAGGTGGGCAGGAGGGGGAGCACTCACTGGGAGAACGTCCTCCCACCCTGCTGTGGCTGCTCTGAAAGGAGGGGCGGGTGGAGGCGCAGCCAGAGAAGCCGACCCAGTGACTAGGCCCACAGACAGCATTTCATGTGGTTGGAGAGTGCACAGTTGTGGTTTCTTGTTTCCTATTAAGCTTCAAAGGTTCTGAACCTTTATTGCCCCCAATTACGACAGTATTAATGCAAGTGCCTTGAAGTTTAACAAACAGGTGCAAATGAGACCGGGACCTCACCGATGGTCGGTAGGGACCCTCTTCTACTTCTCTACACAAGACACAAAAGCACTTCAGCAATAAAATAGAGCTTCAGGTCTCAGTAGAACACCGTGACTATACAGCTTGAGCAAAAATGATGTTATATGCCAATGAACTAGTACACTGCTCCTCCTGGGGGTTTCCCCTGATGGGGATGGGAAAGGCGGCTGGACCGGATGTCTGGCTGTGCCCATGCCGGTGTGTGGCCCTCGGGAGACCTCCTCCTGCCCAGCCCATCTCCACTCAGCTCCACTGGGACCGCCTCACTACAGGCCCATGTCTTCTTTGCCCTGACCTCACAACAGCTGCTTACTACCCCCATGCTTCTGGTCTTTCTACTCCCAATGTATAGCCAGAGTGATCCTTCTAGGATTCATCTGATATCTTACTTCCACCCACGATTCTGCACTGCTCTCAGGATGAGGTCCTCCACACACCTGGCTGGATCCCTTGCTCTAGGCATACTCTTTTAAAAAAAAAATATATATATATATTTTATTGATTTTGTACAGAGAGGAAGGGAAGAGATAGAGTCAGAAACATTGATGAGAGAGAGTCATCGATCAGCTGCCTCTTGCACACCCTCTACTGGGGATGTGCCCGCAACCAAGGTATATGCCCTTGACCGGAATCGAACCTGGGACCTTTCAGTCCCCAAGCTGACGCTCTATCCATTGAGCCAAACCGGTCCTGGCTCTAGGCATACTCTTCCTCTCTGAGCCTCTGGTACTGGCTTATGGAAAGGCCTAAACACCCAGAGCTCATCATGTCCCTCCTCGTCTGCCTGTATGCGTCCTCATGCCTCCCTGGGGAGTTTTTCTCCGTGTGAGCCGTTCCTGTCTACCCCCTGAGCCACCTAGTTCAATCCTTCTGTCCGTTCATACCCTGTCTGATGCCCCATCTCATACTCTCAGTGACAGTTGGCCAGCATTGGCCTGAACAATTCTGGTGACAGGGAGCTCACTCCTTTCCACCAGCCTCTGAACTCAGCCATGAAACAGCCAGACCCTTCTCCTGGCCAGCCCTGAGGAGCTACAAGGACGCAGCTTATCATGTCCCCAGACTAGGCCTTCCCCTGTGTAATCTTTCAGCATCCCACATTCCTGAATTATTCCTCTGGAGCTTGGTGTTGAGTCCTTCTGTTGTTTCTGCTCCCCAAAGATCAGGAAATCCCCAAACCTCCTGGTGTCTTTTGTGTTAGGGTCCCTTCCCTGTCCTGGCCGCCAAAGGGGACTCTGAATGAATTCCATGTACTTGCTTTCCTTACAGTGTGATTTCCAGGATAAATTCTTATTCCCTAGGGATGAACTAATTGATGCAGGTTGTGTAGAATCACCATCTCCTTCATTCTAGAAACTATTTCTATTAATGTAGCCTGAGGCTGCAATGGTTTCTTCTGGGCTAGTAATTCACCCTGAGTTGCTGGTTAGAGCTCTCCAATGCCTCTCTCCACCCTACCATGCTCAGATTTCCCCAGAACAGGCTTTATAATTCTCCCACCAAACCTGTGCTTCTTTAGCAACTATAGGATGAATCTTTATATAAGCGCCTACTACTGGCCCAGGCATTTTACCTTTAATCTTTAAAACCATCTTGCAAAGGAAGTACTAGTTAGCATTCTCTCCTTCCTTTCTTCTCACTTAAAAATTTCTTAAAATTTGCCGAAACCGGTTTGGCTCAGTGGATAGAGCATAGGCCTGCGGACTGAAAGGTCCCAGGTTCGAATCCGGTCAAGGGCATGTACCTTGGTTGCGGGCACATCCCCAGTGGGGGATGTGCAAGAGGCAGCTGATCGATGATTCTCTCTCATCGATGTTTCTAGCTCTCTGTCCCTCTCTCTTCCTCTCTGTAAAAAAAAAAAATCAATAAAATATATTAAAAAAAATTTCTTAAAATTTTTATTATGGTAAAATGCAGATAACATGAAATTTACCATTGCAACCATTGTTAAGCATATAGTTTAGTATGTTAAGCACATTTATACTGTTGGGCAACCAAATCCTACTACCTTTTCATCTTCCCAAACTGAAACTCTGCACCCATCAAACAACTCCCCACAAGATCCCCCAGTGCCTGGCACCCACCGCCCTAAACTCTGTGAATGTGACTACTTCAGGGACTTCATATAAGTGGGATCATAGTGTTTGTCTTTTTATGACTTTCTAGGGTAATGTCCTCAAAGTTCATATTTTTTCTTAAAAATTAAAGAAAAAAATAAGAGAAATGCAAGTTGTAGCTAAGAGACTTGTTTGAGGCTACACAGGCAGGAAGTACCGAGTTGGGAAATGAACCAAGTGTCTCTTTGGAGGGGACCTTTCTCTACCACCCCACCTGCTGTCTTCTAGGACTGAGACCTACCCGGGTGACCTCAGCCCTTGAGAATTGCATCAACTTGGCCAAACTTCTGTAGTACCTGGGGACTGCCTCAGAGACTGCATTTGACATTCACAGAATAAGGTTTTCTGCTGCAAAAATCAGTGCCAATCAGAGGAGGCACCCCTAGACTGGGGAGAGTGGATGGGTGGGAATTTGAGAAACACAAATGGCAATCCTGTGACAGAGAAGGTGAACTTTCCAGTAACTACTTTTGAGTTAAGGTCTCTGCAAAGTTGAGTGTTGCTGAGTGAAAACAGAGACCCAAGTTGATTAGCTTCGTAAGTAAAGGTAAATACTTAAGCACCATCGGAAGGTGAAGCAGAAGCAGTGCTTTTACAGAAGGAGCTGTGTGAATGGGTGAACTTGGGAAACAAGACCATTTGAAAGAGAGGCAAAGGAGGCCCTTGTTCTGTGGCCTGTTCCTAGTGAGCTGGTGAAGAGAAAGGCTCTAGGCCTGGCTCTGCAATGAGCAGCCACTGACCTTGGTTTCCTCATCTGTAAAATGGGGATCATAACATCACTGATCTCAGTGGGCTGCAGTGACTCAGTTCATGTGAGGTGCTTACAACAGAGCCAGGCAAAGTAGCACAGAATAAGTTACTCAGGAATTGGCAGCTCTTTCTACCATTACCACGATAACTACATATAATAACGCTATCTCAGGCGCTTCATTCCACACATCTTTACTGAGTGCCTACTATGAGCCAGGCTCAAGGTCCTCAGTGGTGAATCTGGGAATACAATACAGAACCCACAAAGTTCTCCTTTAAGAAAGAAGAAATTCACACACTCTGGGATTATTCTTATGCATAAACTGACCTTCACATTTTAATCACAGTTAAGGTGATTTTATTGGTCTGAGTAAGCGATGCCAGCCAAGGGGCGGGCACCCTCTGGAACTTGCGGAAGATGGGGAGCAGCGGCCACAGACCCAGAAAGGACTTTCACCCTGTGGGACTGTGTATGCTGGCCGTGGAGGCACAGCTCTATGCTTTCCGGCTGCCCAGCTGTCCGACTGAGTGTGGGGGAGGCCGTGGCCTGTGCAGTCCAGGGCTGAGAAATATCATGACTTTGGCTATTTCTCTCCACAAATAGAGAAGATAAATGGGAAGAGTCCTTTCTTTCCAAAGCAGCAGCACCAATGGCGGAATAAAAATATTTTATTGTTCTACGGAGTCCTCAGAGAAGGAAGCGGTCCTACAGGTGGGAAAATTTTCCAGGCAGCTTAGCATTTAGAGCCACCCAAAACCGAATGCCCATTTTGTGCCAGACACTACTGAGGACTTCCCGAAAGGCACCTGCGCCAACTGAGTACCAGCCAGAAAGGGGCTGACCGCTGAAGGCTCTCTCCAGACAAGTGGCTTCACACAGCGGAGGGGATGATAAGGACTTCTCTGCAGCACAATGGCTGCCACACGGACAGAGGCGGGTATGAGCCGCTTCCCAGTGGACCATCACCAACCAGGGGGCGTCTGGGATGCTCGGGTCACATCAAAGACTTTGCCTGTGACTTCTCATGCATTTCTATGATATCAGGAAAAGTGTTAACATTGATAGCTGTATGTAAAAAAATTACAAGGATAGCTGGCTTCTAACTTAGAGAGAAGCATCTTCCATGACGACAAATGGCTATGCTAATATGATTTTATCCCGGAAGCCATCAAGCATCCTACCTGGTTTGCTCTTTCAAGGTCCGTCATGATCATTTCAATTTCATCGGCCCTAGGGGATGAGAGGAAGAGAGCGTGTTAGTCAGTAGCCAGCCAGGCTCCGGGGTGCCCACAGTTCTGAACTTGGCAGAATGACTTGTAGGTTCACATTCCAGGCAGAGTCCCAAGTGTAGGGGGAGAGAGGAGCCATGCAGTTCTGTGATCGGGCACCACTGCTCATTGGGAGGAGGTGGGCCTGCCCTTGAGGTGCTCCTGGTCTTGTCAGGGAGAGAGCCATAAACAGATAAAGTGCAGTGTCCTGTCAAAAGATTGAATAGAACTCTGAACAGAGTAGTCTGAAAAAACAAGAAAGGAATTCTTGGGAGAGGGAATCTGAAAAGGCTTTGGAGGTCACATGTGAATTGGGTTTTGCAGGATGAATAGAAGTTTGTTAGGACCGAGAGAAGCCCAAGAAGTGGAATGGAGGATAGGAATGCAGGATGTGGACTCTGCGGTCTGCTCTGCGGTCTGTTCACCACCATCATCTGGCCTGCTCACACACAGGAAGTTCCAGGTGCCTTCCCCTCCCCCCCCTTTTTTGAAAGTACTTCCTTGAGTAATTTGAAGGCAATAATAAATATGGTTCCAACTTAAAACATCATGAGATAGAAAATAATGCTGAGAATCCTATTGAGAAGGGTATGGGTCCGTTTTGAAAGTCTATGGGAGGTTAGAACTAGGCACCCTGGCAAGTCACTGCCCCAAACTTCTATATTCAGCCCCTGGCTGGTCCGTTTTGCTGTTTGCTGCACCCAAAGCTCTTTGAGCCTTTAGTCACACACTGCGATTTGAGGCAATCTTATCAACTCCCCGCAGTTCGGATGGGGTAACAGATGCCTTGTGTGTGATCAGGTTCAAGGCTCATTGTATCTGTCTGAAATAGTATCCTGCTTTCAGACTGGTCTGAGAAAAGTCTGAAACAATTCATAAAATGTCCTAGTTAAGCGCAGTTATTTTTAGGATGACTTCGTGAAGAAGGCAGTGTCTTTGGAAGACAAACACCCTAACTGGGCCTCTCAGTGAAAATACTAGGTGAAAGGGGATGGGTTGGGGGAAGGGGGTGCAGCTTAAATTACTAAACATCTCGCCGCATCATCTGAAACGGAAACCTCCAAGATTTCAGAAGAACTGCTCTGCCAAAGAAAAGATAATCAAATGACGACAAAGGATAAAAAAATAATTAAAGGCGTGAAGGTCTAAAACACAACAGAAAAGGATACCTGACAGTCAGTACAGAAAGCTGCTATCTTGACAACCTGCTGATAAAGTGCCATTCCACTGGGTACAAGATGAAATAAAGAGTGAACAAACTTTTCTTAAGGCAAATCCTAACTTTTAAACACAGTTTTGTTCTTCAATCAAACAGTTATTCATATGTATTTACAAAGTCCAGATCTACCTGGCAAAGTTCCCTCGCTACTGGAATCATTCATTCATTCACTCTCGTGCCATGCACATTTCCTACACCTACAAGTTTTCTGGCCTGGGACAGGGCTACGGGAGGGGCACATATAGCCATGGCTCCTGCAGATCTTGCCAGTACCGTGTTTTTTACAAGAGAAGGATGGAAATGGTTTATGTTGAATACATAAAAAACAAACAAACAAAAAAACCCTATAGGTAGTGTCTCACTTCTCTCTTGAGCAGATGAGGGGAACTGGCTGCAGGATCAGGCCACTGGGTGGGGAAGGGCCTGGCTGGATCCCCAATGAGCACGCTCATCTTCCTTTAATTCTGGCTGATTTATCTGTCATTGAAATCTTTCTTCTGTTTTGTTTGGAACTATTAGTTTGGATTTGGTTGCACATCTACGTCTGACCTCCACATCATTTAACCTTTCCTTATCCTTTCTTTCTTTTTAAAAAAAATATATTTTATTGATTTTGTACAGAGAGGAAGGGAGAGATAGAGAGTCAGAAACATCGATGAGAGAGAGTCATCGATCAGCTGCCTCTTGCACACCCCCTACTGGGGATATGCCTGCAACTAAGGTACATGCCCTTGACCGGAATAGAACCCGGGACCTTTCAGTCCCCAAGCCGACGCTCTATCCATTGAGCCAAACCAGTTTCGGCTCCTTATCCTTTCTTGATGCTTTTGGGGTGGTTCTTCAATTTGATCCAATTATAGCTGTATTTGTCCTATAATTTACCTTGTTTCTTTTGTTCCTTAGTTTAGTTATTTTGTTTTTCATACCTATTTCTACTTCATTCATTTAAAAAAAAATCCTTGTTTTTGCTTTATGTTGCTATTATCTTCCATTCTTTTCTTGAGTATATTTCTTATGCTTTATTTTGTACTCCTGTCAGATCACACATACTACTGTTGTGTTTTCTTTTTATTGGGGGGAGATGTTTTCTTCTGGGGCGTGGCTTTCCTTGGGGTGCCGCCTCTCTTTCTGGCAGTGTAAACAGGGGTGGGGGGAGAGGACGGAGAGGCAGGCCTTGTCTGTCTCTCGGGATAAAATAAAGGAGAAAGACACACAGCAGGTGTGCAATGTACTTTGCTGAGTGAAGAAAGGAGAGAGGGATGACCCCAGGGCCCAGAGGAATCACTGATAACTCCCCTCCACCAGGAAGATCCTCTGGCCAGAACTTCACCTTTAATTCTCTGGGAATTCCCAATCCTGGATCTGAAGGGGGAGAGGCGTGGCTGTCTGTTTTTATCCACTGCTCAATCCTTGCCTGGCTCTGCCATTGGCCACGGGGCCAATATAGGGTCAGACACAAGCTTAGGCTAGAGAAGAGAGGGATTCCGAGGGGCCTGGCTTTCCCTAGAGCTGGCAGCAAGGCAGGGACCCGTGGGGACAAATTCTACCAGATTTAGGGGACTTGGATGGGCTTGAGAGCCTCCTCAGATAGTGAGCGGTTTTGGGTGCTCATTAGTATGCCTAATATCCAGAAAACAATGCACCATTTCCAAAAGGTTTCAATTCCCTTATAAAGAATTAGTCACAATTAAACAGAAAGGTGCCTTCTCGGCAGTCAGAGTGAGGCAATCCCTGGAAGAGAATTTCAAGTTTTTCCATCTTGTGGTTAGTTTAACTTTAGTTACTAAGCAACCACTAAACTGACCAAAATATTGAATGTGATAACAACTATTGCACTTACCTTTCATTACAAGAGCAACTCTCGGATTTCCAAAGCTTTCACATGATAATGACAACACTGAGCTCTGCTGTGAAAAGGCAAGGCTATTCAGCACCAGGTATCCTCATGACAGCAGGGCCCAGGGGGCTGCAGCTCCCACTCACAGAATGGACCAGAAGCCACAGGAGGAGACAATGGAAGGAACCAGGGAGCAGTGGGCAAAGAAAACGCCAACTGTTGTTTTTTAAAGTCTGTAGGCTTATGATAAAAAAAACATCTAGCCAGGTATTCCGGTGCGATGGGGGTTTTGAAGATGGGAAGTGCAGCCACTGGCACTTGCAGACGAGGACCGAGATCATCTGCGCTGGTCTCATCTTAGAACACATCCACCAGAGACTGTGCAAAGTGCTCCTCTCCAAACTGCTGCCCCTGCCCTCCCAACAAAATGAATCCTCCCCGGCAAACTGCCCTCAATACTAGTAAGTAACACAAAAATGCCCAGAGGTTAATGCTACAACTATGTTATCTGAAAAGTGCAATAATGAATTAAATGCCATGTGCTTTCACAGAGTGAGTGTCAACAATATTCTGAAGGTTTTTCATTCTTTTCATTTTGAAGACCCAACTACCACATTAGGATCTGGAGCCTGACATTAGTCTAAAATCATTTATTTTCCAAAGTCCATAATAACAGCACATATTGTTTGCTCAGCAAAACTATTTATTATAAAAATTTAGTTCTCTCACCTTTTTATGAACCGACAAAATAGCTCTCACTGATCTATTAACCTGAATGGCATTACGTTCCACTCTGACTTCAAAGAGCGGGTAATTTCAGCTTGGCCTAGACTATTTGGTTCATTCAGTCAGTTCCCTGCGGATCACTTCAGGGTATTCTCTGCACTAGCACACCATTTTGATGAGGAACTCGAAAGGACGTGGTCAAGGTGGATGAAAGGGAGATGATATCCACACTAGGAACTCTGTGTTTACTTTCACACTAGCCCCAAGTGCCAAGGGATGGCACCAAGGCAAGGATGGGGCATATTTCAATACCTGAACGCTCATGCTGTCATCAGGATCTGTTGAAACCAAGTACATCTACAAGCAGTTAGAGCAGTGTCCTTGGTGGCCTTCAAAGATCAGTGTGTCTTCTTAGACCCGTCAAAAGTCTCAATACTAGATTATAAAGTTCTTGAGCATCAAAAGAAGATATAGCTAAAGATTAATGTTCCCTGCTTTAAAAATTAAAAACCAAAAGGCTCCGGTATGTGCAATAAAGTGAGATCTCCCCCTTCCACCTGGATGCTGCATTTGCTGCATTTGCTGCAAAGGTGACCTCTTTCCTGACACGCTGCACACCAGGCCAGGCTCTCCTAGTAAAAGGCAGCAGAGCAGACGCAGTGGGCTCACTGGACCAGCATCAGAAAGGGCAGTATGAAAAGGAGGTGGCCAGAGGGCCAGGCACCGAGGAAGGTTTCGTGGTTGTGGGTCTAAAATCTCCTTAATGGGGATGGGCATCCTCAGGAAAGGCCATCTCTCTCTGTCCCGCCTGGGCACACAGATGAGGAGCTGGGCACAGTGCAGAAGTCTGATCTCACCACAAGGAAAGGCTGCTCTGAGTCACATGTGAGAGCCAGGCAGGACCGTACCCGGAGGAGGTGGCACTGTGTTCTCCTTGTGCACAGGCATTTACCCGCCCCGACGGGTGTGGGTCACAGACTAGGCTGGGATGGAGGGGCAGTCTCTGCTCAATGCCTACTGAGCACCTACTATGTGCCACAGCTGATGGGGAAGCAAATGTCCCAGTAGAGACAGCAGTGCTTACTTAGTAGCACTGGTTATTTATTTGCCTTATTACTAGTACACTGACCATATACCTGCACATCCTAAGGGCTTTGCAAATACGAGGAGGGCGAGTGTC